GTTCCGAAGCCCCAATTCGATGGCCATGGGTCCATGGGTTGGAATCCGATTCCACCCTGATTCTTAGCTGCCCATGAGCAACCGCCAAACACAAGATTGCCCCTTGCGCAGGTCTGACGCAAAAATTGCTATTCGCTGAAGAAGAGAAACCGCTGTTTCCCAAAACCCGAAGGAAACCCGAAGCAAATGCGGCCGCTGCGGAACGGGATGGTTTGGTCATGTTTGACCACTCTCTCGAGGATCCGAGCCCTCGCCTCGCCAGTGAGCTTCAGCTGCTTCTGTCTCGCAGCTTCCTTCCTGAGCCATTTGCCCGGTCCAACTTGGAAACCCTGCACCCACCAGACCCGGAGAAACAACCCCACATCAAACACTACCAACCTGACTTACCCCGGCCTGCTCTTCTTGGGGGTTTTGGAGGCCACCGAAGTGGCTTGACACTGTGCCCTTTGCAAGTTTGCTCGTTTGATCGGAGTGTTCTTCAACAAGGCAGGGGCCTTTTGGGTTTCCCAGTTGGCGGCCCAAAGTGTTGCCCAAAATGGTGAGCTACATGCGAATCTCCGGGAAGTTAGGCTTGTATTGGCTTGAGATCTCAGTTCTAGCTTTTGCTGTGAACCCTTGCATGGAGCCTTAAGGACACTGGCTTGGTCTTCCCTTCAACTCCAAGGCGCCGCCGTGTGCTTGTGTCCGGCTCCAGCACCAGCAAGTCCTCGCCAGATGGAACGCACGCTAGGGGAAAGGCTTCCTTTGCACGTACGGATGGGTCGAAGTCTTCGGTGATTCCGAAGGCCAAGAAACCAATTAAACGCAACAAGGAGCCGGTGTTCCTGCCCGAAACTGCCCGGCCTCATGTGGAGGATGACAACAAAACGAAGACCTGAAATAACATGGTCTTTGGACACTCTTGTAAGTACATTGCCCCTTGTCCACATTCAGCGCTCATGACCTTTGCGCTTGAGACCAGCAGGGCCAAATTGCGCACCATGCCGGCAAACTGACAGTGAAAGAGACGAAGCACTGCATAGCGTTGGTTGTGCGAGGCAGGACCCAACAATCTCTAACTCTAACTGTCCCAATCTCAGCTTCCCTCTGACTGGTGGTTTGGAGGTCAGGGGATGGTTTCCCATTTACCCGCCATGTTCGAATCCCAGCAATCCAAACCATCAACATTAAAAAGAACACTGCCTCCGACCAGAACATGCCGAGTCCTCAGACTGCAGGACATCCTTGCCCCCGCTGAAGAGCCCGAAGAGCTCTGCCAAGTCCTCCGCTGGAGCAACAAAGCCGTGCCTGGCCGCGGGGTCAGCTTCTTTTGTTCTTGCCCTAGCCGCTTGGCTAGGAGAATGTCTCATTTGGATCCCAAATTTGGGAATTGGCAGCAAGTTGCGGCGTCCGGCGCAGCTCAGAAACATCCAGGGAAGTTGGTTCCTCTGCCTTCTCAAACCAAGTAGTGCAGGCTTGTGACGCCCGCCAAAAGCCATCTTCACATGCCCACACAATTCTCCCGACTTCTTGCGGAATTTCCTGTAGGGTAAAGCAACTTACTGCCACGGGACACGCCGCACAATTCCGGACCCGCCTGCGGCAAAAAGTGGCAAAGTCCTGCTGTTTCAGCTCTCTGGCTGGCAGCTGGTCTAAGAATTTCCTGCGCGAGGTAACGACAGGCGGAAACATATCCAGCCAAAGAAGTGAACCAACCAAGACGAAGACCCGCAAAACCGCCGTCGCCCGCCCCAAGGGCCTCATGCTGCCGAACTGGCCCACGAAGCGCCGGAAGCGGCACAGCAGGACCCCCGCCTGGCTCGCCGGCTGGGAGCTCTCGATCGGAGACGTGTCAGCTTTGTCTGATCAAGCACACACGAGGCTGGAGTAGCAGAGGTGCAAAGGATTGATGGAACTCAGGAACGTACGCCTTTGGCTGCTTATAGGCACTTACATGACTCGACTCCTGACCTTGATAGATCAGAAAGTCAGAAATCTCTGGCAATGTCAGCTCCAGCTGCCATGCCAGCCCCAAAGGAATCGCCGTAGTCCACTTTTCGACCAGGGTGCAATGCTCCAAAGTGATGCAAGTGCCCGCTACAACGGGACCCCCTGAACAAGTTTGCCAAGAGATCCTCAAGCAAACCAAGCAAGACGCACCAACACACCAGGGCAGGCAGCAAACAAAGCACAAGCCAACCACTCCAACCCAAAAGCAATCAAGCATGCCAACCAGCCCCAAGCAAAAAAGCCACTCAAACACAGCGCACGCACAAGCGCACCCACGTCGCCGTGCGTGCCGACAAGACCACGGCTGCAAAGTAGACAGCGGGCGTCTGCCACCCTTCGAGCTTGTCATTTTGTACAGCATCATCTAGCCGCCGAGCCTTTTGTTGGGAAAGTCAGCGCCGGTCCTTGGGCTACGTGTTTGTAGAACTTTGTGATATCATGCCAGAGACGCCCAGTGCTGGACAAGTTGGTCTCGAAAAGGCAGGCCATAGGCGCCTTTGAAGGCAAGCATAAATGAGTTGCTCAATGAACAGCGGTTCAAGAGCGTTGCAACAGGTCAACCCCAGGGTGTGGAGTCAAACACATTTTTCATATGGGGAATGGGCCACCCGAAATTCTGGCCTATGTTTCCCCCCTAGCTGCCTCACTGGACAGCTCCAGCAGCGAGAGGCCCCCGCAGCTGCCGAATTGGTTCAGCAGCACCTGGGCCGCCACCTGCCAGTCGGGTGAGCCAAAGACGCCAGGGTTTCTAGCGGCACGGCACGGATCGCAGCGCTTTTTTGCTGCGGGGAAGTGTATATATGTCCGTACCTGAGCCCTTGGTTTGATCTGTAGATTATGGGTGAATTCGAAAATATGGATTGTTATGGGCAACCAGTTGTTCCCAGGGAACCAAATGGCTCATCTGGCGCGAATCAAACCAAAGATGACTTTAGAGAAATGTGCATAGCATCCGGTGATTCCTGGCAATCGCCTCAGCCCCCTCGAGCCGCAGGGCCGCCGCGGCCCGCAAAACATCCTGTCGGCCATACCGGGCTGTGCAAAGCGGAGAGTTGGAGATTTCACCCCACCTACCTAGATCAGCAGCGTGCTTTGCTCGGCTTTTTGGTCCGGTCCACCAGGGAGAATGCCCTCATCAACACAACTTTGATTTGCTTAACAGAACCCAGCAAAACTAAGTTGAACAAGTTTGGCTCGGCCTCGCGGCTGGCGTATAGGGTGAGGTCCGGATCGAGCTCCGTCCTGTGCTTCGCCCGCTTCCCACGTCCAGTTTATTGGTACCCCCGGTTTGAAGTGGACGTGCTGTTGGAACTCCCAGGAGCACATACGTATGTACGCCCGGGGGAACCGCCGCTTTGGGACACAGCAGCAGGTGACGCTAGGTCGAGGTCTAGCGTTCAATGGTCAATGGTTGGATAGATGATCTGACTCTTTAGACTCGAACCCCGACAAACGCTAACACAAGCACCATTCAGGCTGGATCCCAGAATGAAGCTCGCTGTCGGGTGACCCATTCCACTACTCCTTCCGAATGATCTCCCTGCGGGCTCATGGGTGGACGGAACAGCCAGCCTCCAGCCCTGAAGCAGGCTGCCGGTCTTCTCACGCAGGAGGTTCAGAAATCGCTGCTTCAGCAGACAGGCCACCTGGGATCACAGCTCAGAAAGCTGGCCGTTCCCTCCCTGCTCACTTTGGGATGTGAAACACTCAAGACATCGCTGATTCGGGCTGATTGATTGAGAGTCAAGAGCAGCCATGGCAGTCCTGTGCTTGCGCTCTCAGTCAGGAAGCCACACAAACGCTTGTGTTGCATGATTGAAAGCATAGATTACACCGGACGCGCAAGTGGTGCCACACTTATCGCACCATTCTATCATATCAGCCAATGCACTTGAGACCACACCGCAGCTGCTCACCTCCAACTCGCGATCTGAACAAAATCGTCTGTTCAAAATGGAGGCTTGGCCGATCCTAAGCCATCACGTCCCTCCAACATTACCATTGGGAACCCCCCCAAAAAAAAATTCGGAACCCTTCTTCGCAACCCGGTGGCTCAGCCCAGCGTGCAGCCTTTGACTCGATCTGAAATGAACTGAGGGGCATCCCTCTTCACGTCCGGGGCGGGTGACAGCTCTGGGAGCTCCCCCACAGCCACCTGCAGGACTCGGCCAGTAGCCCGGCGAACATGCATAGCAGAAGGAACTAAAGGGATTCACTTGCGCAGCGAACACAACACAAAACAGCCCTGAGCATCCCATGTTGAACTGGACCTGACACACTTGATCGTCCTTCCTCCGACCTGAGAGTTCTACAGACCGCGTCACTGGAATCTGCGGAAGAAGCCTACAGTTGGCCAAGCCCTTCAACATGCAGCTGAGGTGGCAACCTTCGATTCAACGAAGACCACCGCAAATCAGTGATTTGGAAGAAAGCACTGCCTGCTAAGGATGCGGACAGAACTCGAGGGTTTTTCAAGGCTCTTCCAACCCTGGCCAAGCCCATTTGGCAAACATAGTGCCGCAGGCGCCTCGCCGCGCTCTGGCATGCGGCCACCTGACAAGTTAAGAACACACCTTTGACCACCCACCCACCCCAAGAACGTATGTGGGGAAATCAATTTGACCCCATCATGGTTGCTTGATGCTCATCCCATCCGAGACCCGGACGGATCTAACCCGCCCGCGGTGAAACATGACGCAAGCCTTTGAGCCTACGCTGCAAACAGTCCAACCTCCAGAAAAGACATCCCAAGCCTGAAACACTTACGCATGCAAAATGGCTCAACACGTGCCATGTGGACACCCAAGTACACATCATGAACAGGGTTGCTTGAGCCCGGCCACTCTGATGCGCAGAAACATGCGTCTGCAAATCGACGTTGAAACATGCAAACAAATCCTAAAAAAATACAATCCTCTTGAACACACGTCTGGTATCAGGCACATTCCGGAAAGCGGCTGGCCAACACCAAGTGGCAAGCAACTGATAGGCTTCGCAGCTGAGGCGGGGTCTTCGCAAATTTGCCGTCGTCTCCAGAAGGAAACTTGGCGAACACCCTGCGCGGCTGATGGCAAAGCAATCGTGAGGTGGCACCAAAACCAACTGAGGTGCCGACTGTCTATTGTGCTGATCATGGCGGATTCTGACTCAGCAAGGCGGGCGATGCAGCAAAATGGTCAAAGCCATGACGTGTATGCAACCCATTGGATGGGCTTGCAAAAACCGGAAGGAAGCCAACCAGTCGTTGAGCTTGCCCAATTGACGGATCCGTAATATGTTTTTTGTGGAGCCCCCTTACCATTGTATGTTTCACAGCCTGGTGCAAAGCGTGCAAAGCCTGAATTCAGCATGCACCTGGGCCTCAGAACGCCAACTTGGGCGTTTGCTGTGCTGCCAGCAATGGAACTAAACCAACATCCTGCTACTGCCTTGCTTTTTTTGGCATGGTAAACCAACACACGGCTTCAAGATGGTTTCCGTCCTTTGCCCTTCGCAAAAGGCAAACCCAGCCCGACCTCATGGCAATCACTGCTTCAGGCCGCGGCCCTGCCAAATGGGATGATCCCTTGGAGCATCCTGGCGGCCGGGCGTAAGGACCCTGGCCTTGGCTTTCCTTTGCCTAGCCAAGAGAAGGGCTCGTTTGATGGGAAGCTTGAAACAATTTGAAACAGAAGTCCTGCCGTATTTACTTCACAAGCCTGATTTAATTCACAAGTGGGCATCCACTTCTCGCAGATTCAATCACACACACACACCCCCCAGTCAACTACATCATTTGACAATCCCTGGCCGATCGGATCCTGCTCTTGGAGCAGGCTTGCTCATTTCTCTGGCAACCTTGCCAGACTGAAAAAGAAACGGAAATACCGCAAGTTGACCCGAAGACGCTAGTATTGTTTGCTGAGAGGACAACAACAGTGCACCGCACACTGCGGGGGGAAGCCCAGGTATGCATCAAAGTGAAAGCCGTCAACTCAGTAGGTGAGGCTCGGTCGGATACCCAGCTGCCCTGCCCAGCCGCCCAGCTCGCGCCTCCGTGATGCGGCTCACCGAGCCTGGGGTGAGGGAGCAAGAAAGGCCAACGTCGTGGAATCGGTCATGTGCCATTTGTTTCACGTAGTGAGCGAGGGAAGGCACAGGCTGTACATCAGATGTCATGTGGAAGATGCCGGCAGTGGAAGGTGGCTGGAGTTCCATGAGTCGTGGAAGTCTTGAAGACTGCTGATGCCCCTGCCACGCGTAAAATCAAGCTCCACAGATGGAAAGGACAAGGCAAGAACAAAGAGGTGATTGCCTTCTCGGCGTTTCATGCTAGAAAGTGTGAAATCCTGGCTTGTTCTAGCGAGCTCTCCGCATGAAGCTGTCACCCCAAGCTGTCAAGTGACAATGCATGCTGCTTGCAAACTCACTTCCTTAGCCCTAAAAGAGTTCAACCCTTTTCTTCCCCACTACTAACGTGATCTTTACAAAAAGCAAGTCCAAGTACCGGACCTAAAGCAAACACAACACGACCTATATCCAAATCTCACAAAAGTCCCGCCAAAACAAAAGCGATCTTCCAGCCCCTACAGTGCAAGCTCGCGGAAAACCAGATGGCCTGTTGGCCGGCTATGCCGCAACATTGGTGGAGCCCATGACTCCAAATACAAACAAAGCAGAAAAGGCAAAGGTCTGAGGGCCTGATACCATAGGAAGTTACAGTTACACAGACACAAAATTCTTCTGCGAACAGACCCGTAGGCCACCTGCCCCCGGCCATGCCCGCAGCTGGCACTAAGCTGACGGCCCGCCGGAGAGCTCTCCATGGAAACATCTGTCCTCGCAGTGGGTCATGATGGAAAGAACCGCCGTTTTGTTGGCTTTCACAGTGGGAACATGCCCAAACAACAGGGCGCCACCGGGCAACTTAGCGTGTCATCTCGTGGCGGGTCAGGCCAGCTCAATCAAAGCTCTCCAGCATTTTTGCAATGCTCAGAGAACAAGCAAGCAAGCAAACAAACAAACAAACCCAATCATGTGTGTTGTGGTCAAAGCTTCTTAGGCGAGCCATGAAATCTTATGGAAAAACTTGCAACGGCCATCCAACATCAGTCCCTGTCGGCTCGGCCGGATCCCCACCGTTCTCGACCTGGCAACGGGGAGGCAAGCGGACGCTCTCGACACCATGTTGTCACCTGAGATTTTAATGTAGAACTAAAAAAGGATCGCTTGTTGATAAAACACAGTTTGGAGGACCGCCGTCTCTAGGTTAGAGGATTTTACATGCTGGCACGTCACCCTGCAGCCACAGTTGGGTGGCAAAATGCATCAAGACCATCCGAAAATGCAATTTGCGCAACACAGCACCTGAGAGGAGCACGAACCCTCTAGTCCAGGGACTTGGTGTCCAGGTGGCTATGAGTCTCCAAACCCATTTGCAAATGAAGCTTGTGAGCACCCATCAGGCACACGCCCGTCACTCCTTGGGATGCAAGGGAGGCATGCGCACACCCTTGCGCTTTGAGTCGCGCAAATTGAAGTCTTCATTTCTGGGTCAAGTGGCAATCCGGAGAAAAGTCCGGAGCTAGCTCAACAGTTGCTTTGGTGAAGTCTCCAGGCCCTGTGCGGATTGTTCTCGCTTGGGGTCCAGGAACTGAGACGAGTTCGGGCACGCTCCGAACTAACACTAAGCATCTTAGGGCCAAAAACTAGCAGCTGCCATCGCGCTGCTGCTCCTTGGTCCTCAACTCCAACTGTTTTTGGTTTCCTGTGGTTCTCCTTTTGAAGCCGAAAAGATCCAAAAGGCATCCACCCCGTACGATCCGCAGACTGGCTCACCGGAGTTCTCGAAGTGGACCGTCTCTTGGACTCGGAGAGGTTGCCTGGGGCGCTCCGTGGAGGCCCTCCACATGAGCAGTCAATACTCAGTGCCCTCAACAAAGGGAAGTCGAGAGAACAACCCCAAAGCCAGCACGGCCACATCGGCCACAAAGGTCAGGCAATAACAAAGCTCTATCAGTTGCCGTGGCTGGCTGGCTGTTTCACTCACTCCCTCACTCTCGCTCGCTCGGTCGCTTGCTTGGCTCAGCTCAGCTCAGCTCCGCTCAACTCACACCCTCCCTTCCTCTCTCGCTCTTTCAGCACCAACTGCTCGGCATGCGGGGATGATTGAGTCAAAACGACAATTAGATAAGTCCAGCTTACCTCCCCAGTTTGTGTTCAGCACGCCGCTTCAAATTCTAACACAGGGTTTCGCAAACAAGCCCGCACAGCGATGGACAAAACAGGAAGCAGACATACTCTCAGGCGTGCCCCAAGTGTGCGACGCGAATTCATGGTGCGCGCGCGCAAGCCCGATGAACTATCTATTCGTTGCTGAAAGGAGTTGAGGCTCGCGCCTAGTAGCTTCTGCTGTTCTATTCACGAGGCTGGTCAGTGCGGATTATCCTTCCGCAAGTTCACCTACGGAAATATATATATATAATATTATATGTGTGTGTGTGATTTGTTTTATTCTCCAAGTGGTCAGGTTCATGAAGATTCCAATGCAACGTCAAGAAGCTGAGCACTGCGTCAGTCTGAATTATACACCGGATCACTCAATCGGTCGGAGCGACGGGCTGTGTACAAAGGACAGCGCAATCAGCACGAGCTGATGACTCGCGCTTTCTAGGAATTCATCGCAGTGATCCATCCCCACGATGCATTAACCAGCCATTTCAGGCAAGACCGAACACACATTCAGCGCATCAGTGTAACGCGCGTGCAACCCAGGACGTCCAAAGGCATGACAGTCGCTCGCTCGCTCACTCAGGGCCCAACCGGATTGCATTGATTCATGAGCTAAGCAGACTAACAGGTACTCAAACAAGTCACTCACTGTCTGACAAACCCATAAAATGTAAGATTGACTCACCAACCCGAGCAACTGACCGACCAACCAAACAACCAACCTTCGTGCCCCGCGCCTTCCTACCTGCCAGCCTGCCAGACAGCCAGTCAATTAAGTTGACCCACTAGCTAATCACCAACCAACCCCGCACACACGCAAGAGCCCTCCCACCAGCCAACCAGCCAAGCAAGCAACCAACCCAAGCTCAATCGCCTTCTCAAAAATGACCCTGGCAACGCCTGGCAACAGCTGCGCCAAAGCATTGACTGAGCATCAGGCCATCGGACGCCTGCCGGGAATGGTCCCAGGAAATGACCGAAAACCTGAATTGGCCATACATCCGCCAGCGTGCTGTCTGCACTTCCAGCCGAAGTCCCTGACTGGCCTGGGCCTTGACCCCTGCCAAGAATCCGCATGCTTGCGGAAAATGAAATGCAGGCTGAAACAGCGCTTTCCCAAGGACACCCTGATTATCCCTGCAGCGCCCAAGCTGGTTTCAATCATCCTGCCTGCCGCCGCTTCTCCTTGGGCGTTTTCACCTCGCCTGGGCTGGGATTTGATTCCAGACCTGTCAAAGTGAAATGAGCTGCGGTCTAGACTGACATTGGACTTTGGGGAGTGGCCCGGGGCATATTCTTTCCGAAGCATTGCACCAGTCAAGGGCTATGAAACAGCAACCGTTCATCCGAAGCATCTTAGGATCCCTGGACCATATCCACGATACAACCATCTCAGCTGTTCAGAAAAACCAGCAAGTTGCCCTGTGCTTGCTGCTTGCAACCCAGGCAGCCAACTTTGCAGGTCAAACAAGCACCGTGCTCCTTGCCCCGCGCACGGTGCTCCACGCTTCGCGCTTTGCATGCAGCAGCATCCCGGTTTTCAGAACTCAGGGCGAGGCCCTCGGCCTGCGCTGCCAGCTGAAGAAGAATGAGAACCAGCCCGAGCAAAAGTTTGCGCACGGTGTGGGCGAATGCACCGCTGCCAATCTGACTGACTCTTGGGGCAGGAAAGCCCATCACTGCTTGACAGTCTGTGGTAGCAAATGGTTCGGGGGCGCAGCTGATCCAGCCTGCGCCATGCGAACTCTACTTACATCGGCTAAAAGACATCAAATCATTCCGATTGATCTTTTTGGATCTGCTCGGCGTGCGCTCCAAAAACATGGCGGGGAGTGTCTAGGCGGTGCTCTTTATCTCTATAAGCCTGGTCCTGATGGCTTAAAAGTGAATGCCGTCCACGGCTCTCAAATGCAATGCTGCACAGATCCGATGCCGCGGATTGTCCCATGTTGGCCTTTGAGCAATGACAGAGGCCAGTTCAGCACCTTCACGGCCGGCTGGGAACAGCTACGGATTCGATGCATCCAAAAGCACCTTGCGAGTCGTCGGATTGCCGGGTAGCGGCACAAGCCAAGTCAGGAAGAATGGTTGGCGTGAATCATGGCGCCACAAACAGACTCCGAAAATGGGAAAGCCCTTTTGGGTGCTTTTTCAATCGCAGCCAAACATGAAACGGGGACCATACATTTCCAGGATGGGAAACACCCACAAACATAAATGTCGGCGTTTGCCCTCACTTCGCCCATTTGCACTTCTCCCTCCCCCCTGTTTTCTTTTTTTGCCTCCAGCTTGCTGGAGCCTATTGGAGCTCTGGCTCCGGTGATCCTTTAAGGCTCGAAAGAAACCGTGGTGATACTAAGGGTGCCGAGCCAGTCTGCCCCACCGACGTCTGATTCGTAGGCAACAAGTCCTTTCAGCGCCCCGGCTCCAAGCATCGGAAAGGTAGAAGCAGATTGGACACGGGCCACGCCTTGACGGGTGAAACCTGACAGCTTTTCTCGCAGCTCAGGCAAAACGCTTATCCCAGGCGGAGCTTGTGGTATCTGTCCACCTCTGCCTGGCTTCCAGGGCTGGCAGGAGACTGCGAACACACGGATCGTAAGGGCAAAGCAGATTCACCATGAGCTGTGTGGGGCAACGGCGAGGCAAATCTGCCAAGGCCCTGCAGAAGCCCCCACTCTCTCCCCTCTCTCTCCCTCCCTCTCCCCCTCTCGCTCGTTCCCTCCCTCCCTCTCCCCCTGCTCGTTCCCTCCCTCCTCCTCCCACTCCCCCTCCGCCTCTGCTCGTTCCCTCCCTCCTCCTCCCACTCGCCCTCCCCCTTCTCGTTCCCTCCCTCCTCCTCCCACTCCCCCTCCCCCTGCCCCTCCTCCCTCTCCCTCTCCCTCTCCCTCTCCGCAAGCAGTGCCCGCTGATCTCAGATGAGGGATCCTTTTAGCAACTAGCATCGGGCCTATTTGCCCTTTTGGGGAGCTTAACCATTTGAGGCCCTTCAAAGCGATGGCATGCACCCTTCGCAGCAGCCTGTGAACCTTGCCGCATGGTCAGCCACTCGCGGGTCCTGGCTGTCAAACAAAAAAACAACAGCAGAGGCCCACCTTCCACAAACCGGGGAGGGGTCAATGTTTGACTCGTACTGGCCCATATGGCCAGTACTGGCCGTATGGCCAGCGTTGGCTATCGTTTTGCAAATGCAACCCTCAACCTGTAAGCTTACAACAAGATGCTGACGACATAAAGCCGCGCCCCCTGCCGGTTTCCAGTGGAAAAGAGAAGAAGGTTGGAAGAAGAAAGGGCTGCAGCAAGCAACCTGCCAGGCGCACTTCTCGAACTCTTGGCGGGGCGCATCAGTCACACGGTCTCGCCTGCACGTGGCCCGCGAGCCCTGCCCGTTGTCCCAAGCCTTTCAAAAGGGGCCCATGTCTAAGCAAAGACTTCCCTGCGCAAGGTGCTCTTTCAACTTCTTGACGCATTTTCCAGAGCATCCACGTCATCCGAAATATCAACCTCCAAGCAACTACACTTGCCCCCCACCCCTCCCACCCTGCTGTCCCGGCCGGAACTACCTCTCGCGCGCGCTTTGACTCTGGCCCCTGCTTGGCCCACCCCAAAGCTCCCGCGCCAGGAGTCGAAGTCCTTCATGCGCTGGTCGTGGAGCGCCGACGCGCTCGCGCAGCGGCTGAACTTCTGCTGGGCTGGCGCATGGGTGCGGTTGACAGGTAACTAAGCACGTCTGTAGGCCCTGCCAAGGGCAAACCCCTTGATTTGAGGTGCCCCACCTCTCAGCCAACGCGTGCTTGATGAAATCGTGTTTCTTTCATAAGTGGCCAGTCCTCTTTGTCCCTTTGAAACTATCCACAAAGGGCTTTGGATCTGGACATGCACTCACTGAAGCACTGACGCGCACAGCCTCGGTAGTCGCGCCACTGGTGCGCCGCTTCCGCGCGTGCCGCCCATCTCTCATTCCACCCGCGGAAGCGCCTGAGCCCATATGCCACTGGCCCGACCCTTTCGTTCAGCTTTCGGCCCCACATGTTCCGGAGGTGCATGAACAAATGGAGCGCGCCACACCAAACTTGCCATGGCAAATGAGGTGGATCCGAGCGCATGTTTGGATCTCACCGCTGGTTTCTGAATCTATTCCGCCAGGACCTGAACATTGGCACTGCGGCGCAAGGCAGGCAATGCCGCGAAAAAGCTGGCTAAAAAGTTCCCCACCTTTGTGCCAGCGTGCACTGGACTCATGCACCGGCACACCTCCCAGGCGCTCACAATCGTCGACCCTCGAAGGGGTCCGCATCCCAGCGCTCAGAAGGTCGGGCCTGGCAAGCGCACATGCGCATGCACTACATGATGCCCAATTCACTTGTATACAGATTCGCGCCTCAAGCAAGTTGCAGGAACTTAGCCCTTCAATGCGTTGCTCTTAGCCAATCAAAGGTCAAACCAACTCAGCCACGCAACTAGTGGCTTGGAAATCATTGTATGCAGAATCGTTCACATGTACTGTACACGTATGATACGTGCATTTAGTTGGGGATGCCAGATGCCCCCAATGTCAGCAAATATTCCAAACACACGTCTTGCAGCGCAAACGCGGCAGCACCAGGAGCCTCCAACAATGTCGCGCAAGGAGCGGAGGAAGGAAAGCTGCTCGTCCTGCACAGGGCTCTCAGCAGTTCGGTTGGCACACATTGTAGGACGCTCCCGACTCCCTGAACGAGCCGGACTCCCCCATTTGAACTGAAGCCATATGAGCAAGTGGCCTAGCTGACAGTCACCTGAAAGACCCCGAAAGATCCGAAGGAAGGAGAGCAGCTCGCCATGTGCAGTTTCTGCAAGCCTGTTCGCCTTTCCCGGCCCACCTCCGGTTCCCACGAGGTCTTCTTGTTGAAAAGGAACCCGAAGGCCTGGCAGCTTCGAATGTGGCAAGCTGTCCATTTTAATTGTTGCAACGCAAACTGGGGGTGCAAACACGCAAGCCGTGCATTGGTCAACAGCGGCAACAAGATGACACGTAAACCTTCCCGCGCCTCCAGGAACTGAGGCGGAGTGCAGTCGAAAGGGGCCTGCATCAACCACGTGTTTGTCCCCAACGGCTTTGGTGGGACAGACAAATCACGGGCCTCTGGACACTTAGCACCCCATGCTACATTCTGGATGGTTCCAAAAGGACACCAAACAATGGGTCGATGCCTCGATCCACACCCTGCCCAGACTGGCAGCCTGCAGGTGTGCTGGGATGATGCGCTGGAAGGGCCACTTGGCCACCTCCTTGACCCATGCCTTCGGGCGTTGGCAATTGGTGAGAACAAGGGGCTTGCACACCTCATAACTCATGAGAACGAGACATCCCACATGCTTGGGGGCGCATGGGCAAGGGGGAATTCAATCAGAGTCAGCTGGACTCTTTGCCGGTTGCTTGCCGTGCTGGAGGCAAGAGGCTCCCAACAACTGCGAGGTAGCTGCAAACCGTTGTTTTGCTCAGCTGGCGCGTTTGAAAAGGTGAAACTTGGTGGACTACTGACTTCTGGAACCGAGCTGCCACCTTTCTGCCTTTCGCTGGTCCAAAGAGCGTGTGAAACCAAGCGAGCTGCCAATCTCTTGCTCAAGGCCAGCACTGCGCTCACCGGATCGCACAGCACGGCGATTGCGAGTTTTGCTTGCCTCTGGCTGGCGGTCTTTGATGGCCAGTGTCCCTCGTTACCAGTCCGGTTGCCGCAAAGTAAGGCTGCGCTCACCGTGGCGTTCTGCACCAGGGCGTCAGCCAAGGCGTTCGCAAACCTCGAGGCAATATGGTTGCTTGTGAAGTGAAGGCTGGCCACCATGGTGTTGCGGGCATCAGCCCATGCCTTGCCCCGCTGGGGCCGATCCTCACTCCATAGTTCAGGTTGGTCTGGGTCATGATGCAGTTTGCGGTGAGGGCTTTGGCTATGCCCCCGAAACCGGGCTCGGGCTTGATTTCTGCGTTGGAGTGTCTTGCTTGTCCGGCTTGTCCGGGTTTATTAATTATCCTGTAGCACCTCCAGCTTGTCCAAGCCTGCTTTGTGGAATTCTTTCGCAGCGCCTTCTCTGAGGCCTTTGCGCCCTCGATGTGGCTGCACAAAAGGCGACAAAAGGATCCGGCCCAGCCAAATCGATCTAGGTCACAAAAGAGTTGGCCACGGCCAGCGCCTATGCAACCGCATCGCCGATGAGGCTCAGGTTGATCACAATCACAATACATCTGATTGAAGGCTCAGCGCATCTCAGCACACATGTGGTTGCCCAAATTGCAAATGTGGCTGCCCATATTGAGGCTTGGCTGCATGCCAAGCGCGTGAGTGCAAGGCTTCCGGGAGCTCCCCCCCAAGTCGTCTCAGCCAAGCTGCCCGGCGCTTGCGTGGCTGTCGTGCCTCACCAGCCAGTGGCTGGTGACTGTGCTGTTCTGGGCAAGAGCGTCGCCCAGCGCCTGCGCCGCATCGACTTTGTCTTGGCATCTCCGGGTTGCTTTTCAGCACCGCCAACGCTTTGGCCGCATGGCCCCTCGCCTACGGCAACTCACATCCTCCCACCCAGAGCTTCCGCTGCAGCGGGCCCCATCTTGCTCTGCGTGATCCGAGAGGACCTGGGCCAAGGTCACCTCCTCTTCTGCTAGGCTGGCTTGCACCAGCTTCTCGGTGGCTCCCGCGCGCTCACAACAAGAATCCGGCCCTGCAACCCCAGGAGCGGGCCCCAACTGCACCTGAAACATGTTTGCGGGCATCGGTGCTTTCAATCGTTGAACGGATGCCACTCATCGCCTCGCCCTTCAATGCACACGGAGCGGTCATGTCATCCTCTTGACGAGGACCGGGAACGACATCGCCTGGAACATCATCTGTTCGGCCTCCTGCCGCCGGGGCGGCCCATGTACGCATGCAGCAGCACATTGCTCTTTTCCAGCTGTCCGTCGGGGTGTAAGTGAGACTCGGATGTATCTTGGGCAAGCTGGAGCCATGTCTACGGTCATTGAGTCATTGGTGATCCTTGCGAGGATCGAAAACCCTGCAAACCAGAACCAGCATCGCTGAGCTGCTGGCGGCAGCTTGCTCCGGGCAGCGGCGGTATACGATGTAGCGCAACCTGTTTGTGGATTTGCTCCCCCACGAGGCAGCGATCGCTTTGGTGTACATACCCCATGCAACACACCCTAGCCCCAACCCCCAAGGCATCCATTCCGCTGGTTGACCCGATCCCGAGCTGTAAGGGCGCCACAGCGGGTTCACCAGCGCTGGCGGCTTGGCCAACGCCGCGAAGTCCTACAAACTTGGCAAGTTGCGAACGGGCGAACCTCTTTCACAACAAGCAATCATGGAAGTGGACAAGGGTTGTCCCCAAAAGGATCTCAGATTTCATTGGAGGGAGGTTGATACTTGTGTGTAAAGGTCCAACCATTGACATCTGCGGATGGAACTCCAGACAAACTGCGTATCAGTTGTTCATGCACGCAAATGTGAAGTATGATGCGTGAGACATGAGTATGCGTGTGTCAAGACCAGGGACTGGTTGGTTTCATACTTATTTCCTCGTGCAATTGGCCGAGGAGGTATTCCTACAGTCAAACTTCAGCACATACCTATATCTGCCCCTCACATGCTGCCCAGCAGTCAGAGTCGCTCAGGACCAGTCGACCCGTGGGATCCCGTGGGAGAACGCTGGACAATTCACATCTGGTTCCAATGTGCAACAGTCCTTCTCATCCTGTCCCCGGCCCGTAACGAAGTCGAAGGCAATCGCTTTGTACCTCCCACACGGAACCTTCGGCAGTCGAATTCCCAGCCCGGCCCCAAGTGCGGAGGGGAGAGGACAAAAAACCTGCCAATGACTTGAAACCCCTAACGATTCCTAGGATCATCAGTGTGAGGAATGTTCTTTTTGAGCAGCTTGAGACATGTTTGATGAAGCAGCAAGCATCGGTCGCAACCCCTCAGGGAACGACAATGAAAGAGTGCCCCACCCGTAACTCACCCATAGAGTAGAGAACTCGTAGACAAGGATGTGTTCCAGAGGTTCGGAAATGTTCAGAAAATTGGTGCTGCACATGAGACGCCGAGGTTGAGCAAATTGCAAATGGCATGCCAATGGGTTGTTTTGGGGCATGTGATTGGATGAGTGACTGCACTATTCAACGCCTTGTGTTTGAATACATGGTCTCCATGACCCAGGCCAATCAACCGCATGGCCTCCACTGCTCCTGGGAGATTGGCCCCGGCTCCCCATCGTAACCGTAGGACTCCAAGACCTTGGGAGGCTTCTGGGGCAGCTTCAGCGCGCAGTCTGTGACCAGCAGAGTGCGGGTGGCCTTGTGGAAGAAGACCGCCTTGGCCCGACTCGCCCGACCCCTGGAATTCAGACTGGGTGGCTGGGGCGGATGGGATGGGCAAACGGACCTGTCACCCTCCCGTCCCGTCCCCGAGGGCCTCCGCGAAGGTGTCCGTCACCGGAGGCTCCACAAAGAAGAGCTTGCAGTCCAACTCCTCTGCCCAGGGCGGCCGAGGGCCTGAAGGGCCCAGGGCGCGGGCCTGCGGCACAATGATACTCTGGCCCGGGGTGGCCCACACCATGGCCTTGTTGTAGATCCGCGCGAACTCCGCCAGCGAGGCTTTGTGCTCCAAAGCCGTGGATGGCACCACCAGGTGAGCCACCGGCCCCAGCTCGTCCAGCAGCCGCACGCACTGGCGGGTGGGCGAAATGGGCGCAGAAACCCAAAGTGTGCCATCCTGCAACTTCACCGCCGTCATGCGGATGTTGGTGGACACTGACGCCAGGGCTATGCACTGCTCAAAGCCCCAAATCCGACCTGGGACCAGCTCCGTCCTGATCGTCTCTTTGTACGGGGCCGGCGCTAAAATGGTCCCCAGTGCCGCGTACCTCTCGTCAGAGGCCTTCAGCACTGCATCTGCTCCTGCTGCCACTACCCCTCCGCCCAGCAGGGCCAACAGCGCGCGGCGCGTGGGGTCCTGTGAGTTGGCGAGTTATGAGCCGGCCAACAAACTAATCGCTTGAACATCTTGACGTCTCTATTCGCACGCCCTTTTGCATTGCCCAGCCTCTGCCGCTGCCTCCGTCGCCTCAGCCTGACGCAGCACCTGCCGCCGACGCTGCCGTGCGAGGCTCGCGAGGCTCGCGAGGCTCGCGAGGCTTGCGAGGCCCGCGGCGCCGGCTGCGGCGCCGCCCGCGCGCCCACGCCGCCTCTCAGGGCCGTGGGCGCGGCATGCGAGGCGAATTCGCTCGGGTGCAGAGGATGCCGCCGGCCCAAGTGGAGGCGCAAGCAATGCCATGACAGCCACACGCTGACACAAGGCGATGATTGGAGAAGCAGGATGTGTGAGCCTGATTCATCCAAAGTGACTGTGCGCCGGGATGATAAAAGAAAAGGATGGGATGAAGAGATGATGAAGTCGCCTCTCCACATTCATAATTACAGGCAACTCTTTCGGGCCCATGACTTTGCTTGAGCACTGCCCAGTCTTTGCCGGCATTTGGCAGACCAAACGACCGAAGCACAGCAAGCATCGCCAGCATCGCCCAACTCTGCAAGCTGAGGACAAGGCTCTCTGCTTTTGTCGTACTGCAGCTGGGCCTTGGCAAGCCAAGCTGCCAGGCTGGCCCTTCACAAAACAGATGTCCAAAATTATGGGCGGTTCTCTCTCTTCATCGAACCATCGGGCGTGTTTGCTTCTGCATTTTGACAGCCACAATAGCCACACGGAGGATTGCCCTTTTCATGTCGCGAAGGGCTGCCTGCGAGAGGTGATGCCCCATCACGTCCTTGGATCTCACCTGCGAGAAAATCTCGCGAGAGACCAGACCAAGAAAGGCTCCGCAAATGTTCAAGCGGCCCTCAATGACAGACACGGTTCTGCGAACACAGACCTTTACAAGGCATGGGGTCCAAGGCTTGTTTTGCTCCAAGCTCACCACAAATGTGGCAGAACAACCAGCGCAAATCCAATGCATGTATAAAACACTGGCGTGGAAAACAGAAGCGTGTGAATATCCGTTTCCCCGCCTCCGAATCTATCCTGTGCGCCCAATCGTTGACATACCTGCCCCAGGATGTGGGCGACAGTGCGCTCTCGACAGAGTCGCCCTCATCTCCAAGCCTTGCGTCCAACAGGTCCAGCTTTCTCCTTATCGTCCTGGCATACTGAAAAGACCAGTCGTGTCTCGCAAGTGGGCTCTTGCAATGACTAGAGCTACAGTGGCAACAGCTTTGGCCAACTTTCTTTCAGAATAAAAGGATGACATCGAATAGGACAGGAGGGGCCTTCAAAAAAAAACATTAGAGGAAGACTTGCACCAGCCCACAGTCGAATTCCCTGAAGCCATAAGAAGCACGCTGCAATCAAAGAGATTGACTAGGTGGCTCTGTTGAACGTGTCCCGCCTTGATCCTTTACGCAAATCTTACAAAGTGAGGGGACCATCATGCATGTGAAGTGCTTTGCACATTGCCTTTGAGGCGCATACCTCGGGTAAGCGTTTGGGAAAGGATGGTCGTGCCTTTGTAACGTAGCAGTACGCATGGAGCCCAATTGACCTTGTACAACTGGCATTCCAGCCCGCACAAAAAGTCATGTTGAGACACTTGGGCCTCGACTACAGCTACGACAGGCGCAATTGAGCCGGCACTGCTCACCCCGCTGCCGCGCCGCCTCCACTGGCATGGCCTGTCAGTGGGGCTCTTGCGGCTGAGGGCTGATCACGGCCACAGTGAAGCTCGCAGCAACCCTCTTAGCGCACCTCGCGTTTTGCATCACGCCATTTTCCTCAAAATGATGAATCCTCGTTTGGATGGTTTCAAGAAATCAAAAGAAACCAAGTTTAGACACCCTCTGCAACGAGTTCAAATGACTTCAATTTCATGTTGTCCAGTCCATTTGGGCCTGTCTCAAAAAATGTGGCACGATGCGGCACGTCAAACAAGATGTGGTGGTTTTGGGGGGTGCCCTTCCGATCTCCCTTCCAACCTGCATGGGGAACCCGGACACGGGCAACCACTTCGGCCCGGCGGAACCACTTCGGCCTGCCCAGCCGAGGCCATGCGGGCCACTGCCAGGCTGTTAGACCTTCGAGCGGATGGCTTGGGGCCAACCAAGTTGGGCGACTTTCAGCCCACTCGCTCAATAGGCTCAAGCTAAGCCGGGTGGCTGATGTCAGGCTCAAATGGGTTGTGTCAACTCAATGTGAGCCCTTCAAGTGAATCCTAGCTGCAAGCCTCAGGCCCTCGCATGGCTGAGACTTCGCGCTTCGGCCCGAGATGAAACGGGCCCTTTGAAGGCCAAGAGCTGCAATCGGACGCAGAAGCTGACACGGCAACCAGTGGTGCAAGGGGTGCCTTCAAAACCACCCAGCATTAGTGGCATGGGGGTGCCCGTAGCAAGCTGAATCAACCATCCCGCAAGCTGCTCGCAACTTTTGATCGCACATACCGTCTGCAGGCTGAGGCTGGACGACGCCAGCCAAGACTGCAACACGCCCTGCGTCTCGCAAGTGCCTTGCAGCTACCTGATTCTTCCCTGGTCACAGCGTGTCCAGGCTTAATTCCTTTTTTTGGCCTGCTCAGCTTCCAACTTGCTGCCGAGGCCATGTCAGGATTCGATCTAACACCCACCTTCTTGTCCTTCTTCTTCTCCTTCTCTTCTTTCTCCTGCTTCTCCTGTTGCCAGTCTGGGCACCCACCCAGCGGCAAACCACCGCGCGTCCTGCCAAGGTGGGCAGGCTGGGCGAGCAAAACCGCCACTTCGAAAAACCACCTTATGATGGTTTATGATGGATCTGTAGGGATGCCGTGGCAATTGCAAGCTGCCAGACTCCCAGCTTATTGGAACTGGGTGTCTGAATCTGGAAGTCTCCATTTTGGACAAGCCTCCCACACAGAACCATAGAGTTGTCGAATGGGGCGCTGCGCTTTTGGCGTCAAGAGACGCCTTCAGCAAGTCGGCATCGCCAGACTTTACGGTTTCTTCGGGATGTTCATGTAGCACCTCGGCAAGTGCGAGCGCTTGTCTGTTTGCTACCTCGCAAAGCCCAACAACAGGACCCTAGCAAGACCTTGTCAGGTCAGGAAAAGTAATTGCCAGCGTAATTCATTGGAAGCTTTTTGCACGCACAACATCACACAATCTGCCGGGCGGGCGCGCCGTTTTACACTGAAGCAATGCCTGCAACTGTCGGATTCAAAAAGCCGCAATTGTCAAGCTCGAAGTATTCTCCGTCCACACTGGCGAAACCTTGGCCAAACTTGCACTCCCTGTGAGCAACTTAGCATTCCGATTAAAAGCAAAGACAAAGGAGCACCTGGCCAAGAAGGAGAAGGGTAAACTTGTAAACCAGGCAAGCTAAGTCTGGCAATGACACCAGCGTCCTGGATGGTCTGGAGAGTCCGGCGGTCAAAGTGGCAGCCGTCGGTCTGCACGTGCTCTGGCGTGGCCAGCCGCTGCGCTGCGGCAAAGACGGGGTTGCTCTCAGAGAGCACGTGCTCAAGAAACCTGCCGAGTCCCGACCGGGCCCAACCCCTGGTCAGCAAGGTTTTTTTTGCGGCCTCCAACGAAAACAAACAAACAAACCAAAAAATAAACAAAAGCAAACAAAAACAAACAGACTTCATGCCAAGCATGATTGGGAAACAAGTACCGGCCGCCCGGTCGCAACACCCGGCGAATCTCCGCCACTGCCCTAGAGGGCTCCAGCACAGAGCAAAGCGTAAGGGTGCACACCACCTCAAAAGGGTCAGCAAAACTGAAGATTGGGCACTTCTCTTTGATGAGTTCACAAGGGATGCTCAATTGTCCAAATGTTCGACTTTTCAGACTCCGGTTCACAGCGCTCCTCCCCTCTTCACCACCCAGTGGACAGGGCACCTGCGAACTTCCATGTTTATGGGAGGTGCTCACTCAATACGGTGAACATGAGATTCATTCCCAAACAAACTCTACCGGGAGACCCCCCAAAGAAAGTGAACATCTTCAATGGTCACGAATCCAGTTTGTTGATGGCCTAAGCCCCCTCTCAACAAACAGAAAATGCAAACGTGCATGCATCAAACATAATTTTGAACGGACACGAGCCCGAGTCCACTTCCACTTTGATCTATGCTAATGCTTTTTGCATAGCCGCCGCGTCCGCCGCTGCATCCTCCAGTGGCAGCGCCTCTGCTACGCCTTGCACCAGCCGCAGGCGGTTCCCGCGCTCGGGGACCAAGAGGTTGGCCCTCTTTGCGTTGTCCAGCGCGTATGGCTTCCTAGGCGCAGGAACTGCTGTGGCGAATGCGGCCCCCCCCCCTCTACATGTTTTCGTCCTGGGAGCAGGAAGGGGCAGATTCCAAGCTCTCCTAAAGTCAGGGCTGGATTGGATTCACCCAAAGTGGACATTCTAACTTTTTAAATCATGGGGCCCAGGGTCATCTGCTCAACCAGAAACCTCCTATTGGACTTCAAACTGGCAAGACTAAAGGTTCAAGTCACATGCGGGGTTGCGACAGCCAGCTTAAGCATGCACATCCTCAAACCAGGCTTCCCATAGATGCCCTTGGCCGAGGCCAGCCAAGCTTCATGTACTCGTTGGGGTCCACCCCCACAATGTCCATGCCTGAAGGGGCATCTTTTGAGCCCAAGTACAAAGCGTTGGGGAAGCTGCCGATGCCAACTTCCACCACCACAGCGCCTGACTTACCGATAAGTGCAGGAGTTTTTGTGCGCCCTGTCTTGACTAATGGCTTATGCTTATTTATTGTTTTTCACGGGAGGTGGGCAGCCTCCCTCATGGGCATGCAGCCCTTAGCGTCACTGACGCCTGATTCCTTGCTTCCAAAGAACCCCTGCACCCCGCCAGAGTAGGATGTATTTTGGGGTTCCATCACGCTCCTGTCGGCAGGGACTGGAAGAGTCTGCGGAAGAGCGCACGCTTTCTTTTGGCCACCGCCCTCTCGTAGTCCACCATGCCGAAGGCCATGCCCCGCGCGAACTCCTCGTCCTTTTCCCGGGCCCGTGGCTCATTGTCTGCCTGGCCAAATTGGTTGGGGAAAGGTCCTGAAGCAGGCTTCATTAAATCCTCATTAAAATCCTCTGCATACCTGTTGCACCGCCATACTGCGAATGCTAGTGATACAGGAAAATATGCAACTGACACAGCTGCCCGATACAATGCTTCGGACAATAATTGCAGCATGATTGACACAGGTAAATATTGCAGTGTTCTACAACTGCAGTCTGTTGCGCATGCAGTGCCGGTGGTATGACTAGGATCTTTGACCATCGTCATCAACCGGCACGTTTGTCCCGTCGAGCGGTATCATTGCCACGGCTTTTTAAGCTAGGGGCCTATGGCTGGCCCGGCAAACCAAGGTTAAACCCGTCCAAATACGCGGCATTACACGGCTAAAGATTGACCTTCTGAGCATGGGCAAATCCCTCGTGATGCAAACGGCGGAACATGCCCCGAAGGTTTCTTCAAATTTGCCTAAGCAGCCATTTGGCCCTGGAAATCCTGAGGTCAGCCGACTGTCGTGGGCTGATGGCCACCTCCGCCGCCGCGGGCCCCGCGGGCCCCGCAGCCAGCGCTGGCGCCAGCAGCGCCAGGCGCCGCGGCGCTAGCGGCGGCACCATGGCCAGGCGGAGGCCCAAAGCCAGCAGCGCCAGCGCCAAGCCATGGCGGGCCCAGTGGGCCATTCGAGTGAAAACCCAAAGGAGCGTGGCCAAAAGCTTGTGATGCGTTCCAACTCCAACTGGCCTGGCTCTTGTTGGGCTTGCTTCTGCCGCCGGCAACCCCTTGACAGATCCACAAAAAGCTCCTGGCAAAATCCTTGTTTGCAATACGCAAAATTGCTGGGCTGCAGCCTCGGGGCATGCCAGTGAGCAAGCTCTGCATGCTCCGGCCTGGCATGCGCATGCACCGAGGCCGACGCGTCATGGTGAAAAAGATCGAGTCTGCTGCCTGGCGATGCATAGTCAAACCAGGCGTAGGCTTATCCCTGATGAGGGGTTCCTGAACTCGCAGTTCAACCCCCAATGCCTCACCATCCAAACCGCTCATGGGGGTCACTGGGGTTGATGTAAGATTCAGCGACACGATCCGCCAACACTGGTGCCAAATTTGGCCAACAGGAGTGTCAACTTCGGCCGACACATTTGTAGAACCCGGCCGGTTCTTGCAGCCGTCGTTTTCCATCAGAGCATCCCGACCAATTCCAACCATCCCGAGCATCCTGACCATCTCAACCGTGTTGATTTTTCAGCCAGATTCGTACTATCAACCGTCCCAGCCATCCCAACCAAAGCTGCGCCCGGGCGTTGCGCCTGAACCAGCCCTAAACCAAACGAAACCCACCCTAAAGCAGCGGCATTACTGCGCCAGATCACGGCTCCAAGTAAGAACTTGCCTTCTTTTGTTGCAGCACGTTACCCAACCGCCGCTGCTCGGCTTTTGCTCAAGGGTTTCATCGCCTTCCTTTTTGGAGCGGTGGCAGTCTCGGCCTGCTTTTCTCGGTGGAGTGGAGTGGAGTGGAGTGGAGTGGAGTGGAGTGGAGTGGAGTGGAGTGGAGTAAAATGGAGTGGAGTGGAGTGGAGTAAAATGGAGTGGAGTGGAGTGGAGTGGAGTGGAGTGGAGTGGAGTGGAGTGGAGTGAGTGAGTGTGAGAGTGTGAGAGTGTGAGAGTGTGAGAGTGTGAGAGTGAGAGAGTGACAGAGTGAGAGAGTGAGTGAGTGAGCGAGCGAGCGAGTGAGCGAGTGGGGGAATGAGAGTGAGTGAGAGAGTGAGTGAGAGTGAGTGAGAGTGAGTGAGAGTGAGTGAGAGTGAGTGAGAGTGAGTGAGAGTGAGTGAGAGTGAGTGAGTGAGAGTGAGTCATCACACTTCAAACTTTGAGGCAAAGGTACGGGGGAGATTACGTTCGGGTTCGTGGCTTCTATCAGGTTCTTTTTGTTTTTTGTCTGAACTTCGCGTCTGCTTTCTGAAGGTCTCTTCGTCCGGGTTTCTGCTGACTCATCCCTCCCTAGCCTCGTGAGAAACCCACCGGCCTGCTCTTTGGACATCCCTGGCTGCTTGACGAGCCTCAGTCCGGAGTCCCGCTCAAGCAAAAAGCGGGCTGTTTGAAAGTTTACGGCTAGCAAGTTGGCAACTTTGGCGAGTAAACGACAAAAAAAAAAAAAACGGCCATGCTTGATGGGAGGGTGCCTTGAAAGGACTTGTCAGCGGGCTTCAGTCAGGCTCCACGATTATACCAGTAGTGGCCCCACAAAGCCAGCCGTTTTGACAGGGTCTTTCAAAAGACTGGCACTTGTCCCTGCACTCCTACCTATTGCTTGTCAGGCCTTCACGGCAAATCTTGCATGCCCGTCGCCCCTGAGTGGCGCGATGCTGAATTGGGACTGGGTGTCCGACGCATTGACTACACTTACACGTGCGTCACATCAACTTCTGGCTGCCTGAGCATCATTTCAACAGCATGAGAATAAAACACACAGCAAGGTGATCCACAACTGCTTCTGCGGTGCCACATGTCATTGGCCAAGTGCTTTCTGGCAGCTGCTGATGGCATCACATTGGCATTCCACACCACAAAAGTGTATGTGAAAACAACTTCCATGGCCTGCAATAGCAGGCAATTTCAGGCCAACCTCTTTGCAGGCAGTTTCGTTGAAAGCCAGACGACATGGCCAACAACATGAAAAAAAACCAAGTTTAGACACCCTCTTCAACGAGTTCAAATGACTTCAATTTCATGTTGTCCAGTCCATTTGGGCCTGTCTCAAAAAATGTGGCACGATGCGGCACGTCAAACAAACTTCGGCCCGGCGGCATCCCTCGGCCTGCCCAGCCGAGGCCATGCGGGCCACTGCCAGGCTGTTAGACCTTCGAGCGGATGGCTTGGGGCCAACCAAGTTGGGCGACTTTCAGCCCACTCGCTCAATAGGCTCAAGCTAAGCCGGGTGGCTGATGTCAGGCTCAAATGGGAATGTGTCAACTCAATGTGAGCCCTTCAAGTGAATCCTAGCTGCAAGCCTCAGGCCCTCGCATGGCTGAGACTTCGCGCTTCGGCCCGAGATGAAACGGGCCCTTTGAAGGCCAAGAGCTGCAATCGGACGCAGAAGCTGACACGGCAACCAGTGGTGCAAGGGGTGCCTTCAAAACCACCCAGCATTAGTGGCATGGGGGTGCCCGTAGCAAGCTGAATCAACCATCCCGCAAGCTGCTCGCAACTTTTGATCGCACATACCGTCTGCAGGCTGAGGCTGGACGACGCCAGCCAAGACTGCAACACGCCCTGCGTCTCGCAAGTGCCTTGCAGCTACCTGATTCTTCCCTGGTCACAGCGTGTCCAGGCTTAATTCCTTTTTTTGGCCTGCTCAGCTTCCAACTTGCTGCCGAGGCCATGTCAGGATTCGATCTAACACCCACCTTCTTGTCCTTCTTCTTCTCCTTCTCTTCTTTCTCCTGCTTCTCCTGTTGCCAGTCTGGGCATCTGCTTTACAGTTGCCAAGGGTCCCCTGATAGTGACACAGTGCAATGCTCCTGAGCCTGTTACGCCCCAATTAATTGTTATACCCCAATTATGCGGCAGGAGGAACTGTTAAGACTGGGGCGCTGGGGGGCCCTTGGCAACCATAGGATGTTGTGCTTAGTGACGTGAGACGAAGCGCTGCAAACTCCTTTGCCGGGCTCAGCAGAACTCCCCTAAGATACGTGTGCGCGATGGTGTGCGTATGTGTGATTCCAAAGATGTCAAACCTGGTTTTGACACGTCGTGTCTCCAGAAACCCCTTTGCTTGTCGAAATGCCTTCTGCACCAGGAGCATGGTCCCGAGGCCCATGATCCCGAAGATGAAGCCCAAAGCCAGCAGCATGTAGAGCTGGCCAAGTTGTTGCCCAAACAACATGCAACCAAACAAAACCATATTTATGCAGGAACTTTCCGTTTGGGGCACCCCCTTCTTGTGTTCCGGTCCGGGGAGACATGAAACAATGATTTGGAAGCCTCATTGTCAACTGCAGGTCGGCAGACAACATCCACATTCCCCGGCAGGTATATCATGAAACCGCCTAATTAATTACATGAAATATCATGAGATACTCTGCAAAGACTACCCATGCCATCATCGATCCTGCCAATTTGTTCGAATGGCTGGGGCTTTCCGAGCCCCAAGTCACCGGGCCCTTCTGGTGGCAACATGGCCGTCCAAAGAGGGAGAATTCCATGCTCCAGCCTTGGACCCCCCGGCAGGAGGCTCCTGCAGAGCGCATGCACCCGAGGCACGTGCCCCCTATCTCCTGTCCTGCACTGGTGGCTGGCTTTGGCCTGGCGACTCGCAGGCGGCATGTTCCTCCGATCTGGGCGACCCCTACGAAATAGCCCCCTTCAGCAACGCTTCCTGCAGTCGGTCGAAGCAGAAATGCCAATTTGAGGCAAAACAAAGTCATTGCGTAGGCGCGAACAGCCCGCCATGGCCACTGGCCAACTTTCAACACCAAACTCTTCACAACGCCAAAAGGTCGCGCAGTGACGACACTGCCTCGCCTGAAGATTCCTTCTGCTTCTGACCCTGGCAGCTGCAGTCGCAAATGCATCGAGCAAACTCCTGGCCGCCTCTGCTTGGCGGGACTTGAGCATCTCCTGCTGCTTTTCCATATGCTCCTGTGCGCACATCCACCAACTCCCCTCCACTCCAGTCCCACGTTTCGCCTTCAGCACATCCTCTAACAGGGCCCATTGTTTCCGGGAGGCCTCGGTCAGCGAGTCGATTGACGGAAAAGATGGAGTTGACGTTAGGCCCAAGCGGACTGGGAACTCTGAGCTGCCGCTGGGTTCGGCTCAAACAACCGCGCGTCCTGCCAAGGTGGGAAGGCTGGGCGAGCCAAACCGCCACTTCGAAAAACCACCTTATGATGGTTTATGATGGATCTTTTGAAGGGATGCCGTGGCAATTGCAAGCTGCCAGACTCCCAGCTTATTGAAGCCAGGTGTGCGAAATCTGGAAGTCTCCATTTTGGACAACCCTCCCACACAGAACCATAGAGTTGTCGAATGGGGCGCTGCGCTTTTGGCGTCGAGAGACGCCTTCAGCGCGTCGGCATCGCCAGACTTTACGGTTTCTTCGGGGATGTTCATGTAGCACCTCGGCAAGTGCGAGCGCTTGTCGGTTTGCTACCTCGCAAGTGGACCGTGGGATTGAAAGCCCAAAAACAAGACCCTAGCAAGACCTTGTCAGGTCATTCTGCCCGGCGGGCGCGCCTTTTTACACTGAAGCAATGCCTGCAACAGTCGGATTCAACAAGCCGCAATTCTCTAGCTCGAAGTATTCTCCGTCCACACTTGCGAAACCTTGGCCAAACTTGCACTCCCTGTGAGCAACTTAGCATTTGGACGTTCAAAAGGAAACATAAAGCAAAAAAAAATGGCAAGAAGGAAAAGGGCAAACAGGCAAGCTAAGTCTGGCAATTCAACCAGCTTCCTGGATGGTCTGAAGAGTCCGGCGATCGACGCGGCAGCCGTCCCAGTCTGCGGACTGCATGTCCTCTTGCGTGGCAAGCTTCTGCTGCGCGGCAATGGCCGGGTCGCTCTCAGAGAGCACGTGCTCAAGAAACCTTCCAATTCCCGACCGAGCCCAACCCCTGGTCATTGGGCCCTGGTCAGCAAATATCAGCTGTTGTTTGCAGCCTCCACCGAAAACCAACGAACAAACAAACGAACGAACAAACAAACGAACGAACGAACGAACAAACACAAACAGACCTTATGCCAAGCATAGTGGAGAAACAAGTACCGGCCGCCCGGCCGCAACACCCGGCGAATCTCGGCCACTGCCCTCGAGGGCTCCAGCACCGAGCAAAGCGTCAGGGTGCACACCACCTCGAAAGGGTCAGCAAAACTGAAGATTGGGCACTTCCCTTTGAGGAGTTCACAAAGGGATGCTCAAATTGTCCAAATGTTCGACTTTTCAGACTCCGGTTCACAGCGCTCCTCCCCTGTTCACCACCCACGGTTCTCAGTGGACAGGGCACCTGTGAACTTCCACGTTTTTGGGAGGTGTTCAATGGTGTTCACTCAATACGGTGAACATGAGATTTATTCTCAAACAAATTCTATTGGGAGACCCCCCAAAGAAAGTGAACATCTTAAATGGTCATGAACCCAGTTTTGTTGATGGCCTAAGCCCCCTCTCAACACACAGAAAATGCAAACGTGCACGCATTAAACAGCATTTTGAACGGACACCAGCCCGGGTCGACTTCCACTTTGATCTATGCTAATGCTTTCTGCATAGCCGCCGCGTCCGCCACAGCATCCTCCAGTGGCAGTGCCTCTGCTACGCCTTGCACCAGCCGCAGGCGGTTCCCGCGGTCGGGGACCAAGAGGTTGGCTCTCTTTGCTTTGTCCAGCGCGTAAGGCTTCCTATGTGCCAGAACTGCTGTGGCAAATGCAGCCCTCCCCCCCTCTACATGTTTTCTTCCAGGGCTGGATTGATGACCATCTCTGCAAGCACCTTCTAGTCTGTTACTGTAGTCAACCAGCCATTTATGCCTCTGTTCTGTCCACTATGCCTCTGTTCTGTCCCTGGCTATGGCAATGGCAATGGACATTCTAATTTTCTAAATCATGGGGGCCTAGGGTCATCTGCTCAACCGAAAACCTCCTATTGGACTTCAACCAAACTGGCAAAACCGAAGGTCAAAGTCGATGCGGGGTTGCAACAACCAGGTAACTAGGTGCTTAAGCGTGCACACCCTCGAACCAGGCTTCCCCATGCAAGATGCCCTTGGCCTGGCGCTTGAACTCCATTTTGTTTCGCTCTGGCCAGCCGAGCTTCATGTACTCGTTGGGGTCCACCCCCACAATGTCCATGCCTGAAGGGGCATCCTTTGAGCTCAAGTACTTGGCGTTGGGGAAGCTGCCGATGCCAACTTCCACCACCACAGCGCCTGACTTACTGACAGGTGCACAAGGAGTCGTTGGATGCGGCGGGGGGCAATCAGGCGTCAGTGACGCTAAGGGTGGCATGCCCATGCGGGAGGCCGCGCAACAATGCCCACCTCCCCCAAGAGAATTTGAATAGGCCATTCGTCAAGACAGGGCTCCACAGGAAACAAGCAATCACGCTCCTGTCGGCAGGGACTGGAAGAGTCTGCCGAACAGCTGGCGCTTTTTTTGGGCCACCGCCCTCTCGTACTCTGCCATGCCGAAGGCATTGGCCTTCGCGAACTGCTTATACTTTTCCCGGCGTGGCTCATTGCCTGCCTGGCCAAGTTGGTTGGGGGCGGGCGCAGGTGGGCGTTCGGGAATGCCCTGAACCAGGCTTCACTGTTGACCCGGGATAAAATCCTCAGCTTCCCGAGACATGTGGCAATTCCAATAGATTCAAGGGCTACCTGTTGAGCCGCCATACTGCGAATGCTAGTGATGCAAACGGCGGAACATGCCACGAAGGTTTCTTCAAAGTCGCCTAAGCAGCCATTTGGCCCTTGAGAATCAACCGGCACGTTCCGTGTGGCATCATTGCCACGGCTCTTTAGGGGCCTATTGCTGATATAGGTTCCGTAGGTTCAAGTGGCACCTGAATCCTGAGGTCAGCCGCCTGTCGTGGGCTGATGGCCACCTCCGCCGCCGCGGGCCCCGGCCCCGCAGCCAGCGCTGGCGCCAGCAGCGCCAGGCGCCGCGGCGCTAGCGGCGGCACCACGGCCAGACGAAAGCCCAAAGCCAGCAGCGCCAGCGCCAGGCCATGGCGGGCCCAGTGGGCCATTCGTCGAGTGAAAACCCAAAGGAGCCTGGCCAAAAACACGTAGAACGGGCTTCTTGCCTCACTTGCCATGCGATCCTACTGCCTGGCTCTTGCTTCGTTTGATTTCGTTTGCTTCTGCCGGCAAGCCATTGGCAAATCAAATGCTCCTGGCCAAAGTCCTTGTTTGCAATACGCAAAATTGATGGACCACGGCCTCGAGGCATGCCAGCGGACAAGATCAGCGAATTCGAATTCCCGACTGCCACAAGTCATTCCGGAGGCCTGGCACTTAATGCGTGCGCGCTCCAAGGCCGATGCGTCATCATCCAGGTGAAAAAGATCGAGTTTGTTGCCTGGCGCATAATCAAAGGCGCAAGGCTTATCCCTGATGAATAGGCTAAACTTGGAAGTGAGGGGGGTTCCTGGCCACTTGGTTCCAACAAGTACTCGCAGTTCAACCCCCAATGTTAACACCATCCAAACCACTCACGGGGGGGCTACTGGGTTCATGTGAAATTCACCGACACGACCCGCCGACTCTGATGCAAAATTCGGCCGACGAGAATGCAAATTTCGGCCGACACAATGATAAAATTCGGCCGAAACATATGAAATTCCCAGCCACCGTCCTGATCAAACCTGCGTCCCCGGCGTTGCGCACTTCGCAAAACTGGACCGTGCCAGCCGTGCCGTCTGTCCCGACCATCCCAGGCATCCGACCGCACCGACCAATCTTGAAGCCATGCTGAACCAACCCTAAACAAAGCCACCTTCGACCAACTCTTCACAGACCCTAAACCCAGCCAAAACCACCTGAAACAGATCCTGAACCCACCCTAAACGGACCCTAAATCAACCATTAACCAACCCCTAAACCCACCCTAAAACAACCGTCAATCCACCCTAAAACCAACCTCGAAGCCACCCTAAACCACCCTAAAAAGTCCCGACCGTCCGGACCATCTCCAACATCCTGACCTCACGACCACCTCGACCACCCTGACCATCCCCTGCTCCGGGACGCCATCGGCGACCACCTGACCACCCCGACCATCCCGACCCTCCAGAGCATCTCGACCATCCCCTTACGTCTTCCAAACTAAGCGCCCCTGCTTTCTAAATCGCGCGCTCCTGATCTTTGAATTTCACGCTACTGTTTTCTCTATGTTTTCTCTGAACTTCGCGTCTGTTTTCTGACCCGCTTCGCCCGGGGTAATCACTGTTGACTCATCCCTAATGTCCTCGTGAGAAACCCACCGGCCTGGTCTTTGGACATCCCTGGCTGCTGCTCGACGAGCCTCAGTCCCCCCTCAAGCTAAAAGCGGCAGGCTGCTTGAAAGTTTACGGCCGGCAAGTTGGCAATTTTGGCAGCCCTTCCAGCAATGTAGGAATCCCTTGTATCGTATTTTGTACTGCGTGCGAATGTCACGGTTTGATATCTTTGCTTGTGCATTCCGCAGTGGCTTAACCCACATTCTCACAGAGAATAGCTGCGCAACCATGAAATACACGTCAGTCTCCGTGCCTGCCAATCTGACTGCTTGAGTAGATCACTGTATTGTTCTGTTCATCTTATGCTTTGAGCCAATTTTTGCGCTTTAGGGGGTTCGGGGGGGAATGGTTCCGTTCTTGCCCCTTGAAAAAGCATCTCATGAGCTCTGTGCAATCATGGTACCTCTTTGGAACGGCATTGTTTGCTAACTGAGTAAAAGGCTCGTCTTCTTACTGCTTTTCACATGTTTTGTCTATTTTCATTCCTTCCAAAAAATCAAATCACATTTTTTGACGCAAATCACAATGGAATTGACCACATCCACCGATCTTGGTCCCGACGCATGGCTCAGGCTACAAGTAGTGGCCCCACAAACCCGGTTTTCTGACACCGGCACTCTTTCCTGCACTTTTACCTATTGCTCGTCAGGCGGCCTTCACGGCAAATCTTGCATGGCCATCGCTCCTGATGGGACTCCGACGCGTTGACTACGGTAATGTTAGCACTTGATTAATCAACCGGACCATAATAATGGAAAGTTGTTTCCTTATTCTGGTTCGCCCCCATTGTTGAAGGGGACCAGAACAATTGAAAGTTTTTTGGCCAGGGGGAAAATTCAAAAAAAACACAAATCAATTTCATTTAAAAAACCATCCCCCCCCCCCAGCAATCACCCAAAATCCATGTTGACCCCATACCTTTCAATTGGTGGCCCACTTGCTTAAAAGCATTCCCCTTTCAATTGGTTGCTCAACCACAGAACCTAAAGCCAGCTGAAACACCTGAAATTTGAAAACCATCCCCAGCCCTGAAACTGCAAACTCTTTATTAAACCGGGTTTAAGAAGTGCAAAAAGAAACCATCAGGACAAGGGTACCCCTCACAGACCCCACTGAACCACAATAGTGTCAGTTGCAAGCCCCCAGCCCCCCCTCCCAGAAAATAAGCTATGAGTTGCTTTACTCAAAAGCATTCCCCTTTCAATTGGTGGCCCACTTGCGTAAAAGCATCCCCTTTCAATTGGTGGCCCACTTGCTTAAAAGCATTCCCCTTTCAATTGGTGCTCAGGAAGAAGTGGTTGCAATACTAAAGTAGAATTGCAAAAAGGAAGTGGTTGCAATACTAAAGTGGATTTGCAAAAAGGAAGTGGCTGCAATACTAAAGTAGAATTGCAAAAAGGAAGTGGCTGCCATACTAAAGTAGAATTGCAAAAAGGAAGTGGCTGCAATACTAAAGTGGAATTGGGCCCCAAAATCCTCCATTGTTTGGACGTCCCAGAAGTGAGCCTACTTTCTTCCAGCGCCTCCATTGTTTGGGGGGGGCCTTTATTAATCAAGTGCTAACATTACACTCAATAGCCCCTGACTGGGGCGATGCTGAATTGGGACTGGCTGTCCGACGTGTTGACTAAAGTACACTTGCATGCGCAAGAAAATGGCTCCCTGAGCTTGAATACGAGAATCAAACACACACCTGCAATGCTGTGCGCGCCCCGTGCACCGCCGGCAGCACGGCCGCGTCGGGACCGTAGCGGAGCCAGTCTTCCACCAGCTGAGATACAGCCACGGCTTTGTCCATGGCGTCCGGACAAGAAAAAGTTAATTAAGGTGGAAGTCTTGCCCGAGTAGTGCTGCTGGACCAGCGAGGCAATGCACAAAACTGCGCACATCCAAGCAGAAAGCATGTACTGAGCCCCAAAGTGTGAGGAAAGCTGGATATGCCTACAAGAATCCGGCCAAAACCTGCCAGTGGTCAGGCACCAACCAGGCCGAGCAGCTGCGAAGCCAACTTGGAGACCGCTTCTGCATTGGAATGCAGCCTGGCGCTCGGTAAAACTGCTGCGAGTTGCGGTGTCCACCCAGCCTCTGCATGGCACCCCCCAAGCACACCTTCATGCGTAGGGAGCGGTCCTCTTCTGGCATGTCCTGGGCAAGCAAGGATCCCCCCCCACTCCTCACTCTTCCCTCCTTGATTTCTGCCCTCTGTGAACCCAGCCTTGTCAAAATCCTCGGCAGGGGCTCCTGGAACACTGGGCTTTCCAACCCAAAGTCTCTTCTCCCCCCCACCCGGGCATTTGGCCAAGCCCCTGCCCCTGCATCCAAACCAAGCTAAGCCGCCCGACCGATGAACACCTTCTTGGACAGCTCTGACTTCTTAAGCAGAGAAGCCATGCAAAGGGACCCCAGAAAAGCATCAACCCCTCAGTCGGCAACTTCTCCCCAGTCCTCCAGCTTCTTCGCCCTGCGCGCGTCGCAAAGCAGCAGGTATATATGTCTCGTGCTTATATGTTGTATCCAATGTATCTATATGTATGTATGTGTCTGTATGTATCTCATGCCCGGGGGGACCATGTCAACCGATCTGCTAAATTTGAGGACGACATCTCAAATTGGGCCCGTGCTAAGCCTCAGCTCCTTGACCCTTGTAATGCCATGTCGCACTCCCAGCTCAGCCCATGTACTGCCAGACCTCGTCCTCGTCGTCGGCATCTAGGTCGCCCAAATCCAAGTCATCCAGGTCAGTCTTCGCCTCCTGCGGGCGACACAAATCTCCGACCACTTTGGCCTCCCAAACGCACCGTCGCATCGCCTAAGCACATCTTAGCCTGTGCCCAAGAAGCAAGCAGAGTGCTTGCTTCTTCGGCCTTGTTTGTTTGTTTTCTGAGCTCTAACCTTGGATAACACATTGGTGGACCGGGGCCCAAGGAACACCCACTGGCAAGTCCTGGCTTTGGGGCGCGGCATCTTGGGCCTCCTCAGCTTCCGTTTCCAGCGCCTGGACCCTTGAATCCGTGGCCGAGTTTTCTTGAATGTAGGTGTCCTTTATTCTTGGCTGAAAATTATCTTTTTTGCCTGGTTAGTGGAAAACAAAGGGGACCCCAAAAAGGCAAAAAAGGAAAAGGGGAGCGAATTCTGGGGAAGTATTGGCCGCTTCACTTTGGGTCACCGACATGTAAGATGTATCCTAAGTCTACCCCAGCTACACCCGGTCAGCCCATGGTCCAAGCGGCGCAAAGGAGCCCCAGCACCAGCAATGCGCAAGCGCGGCAAAGCACCTCGACCGCCGGTCTTGACAAATATGGCGGCCATTTTGGGGGAAATTCCAGTCCTGCATAGTCATGTGGATGGACGAAATCCCGCACCACTTTGAAACCATGGCTTTACCATTTGCTGGCAGTTACAGGGGAATCCTTATGAATCATCATTGCAGGGTTTCTGGGATTCCGGGGTTGGAGAAACACCAGCCTCTCTCGAGGATCGATCCTCAGCTGAGGGCTTGCATCAGGCCAGAACTGCCTGGATGCAGTTCACCCGGTCATGCCTCCTGCTGCCCAACGGCTGCGGCAGAAAAGCACCGGAACATGTTGCATCCAAGGGACCAAGAAATCAGCACGGCAAAAGGCGTAAAAGAAAAACACCATGTCAAGAGTAATCAGCAGCAACAAACCAGCTGCAGTCATCGAATTGCGCAAGTGTTCTTTCCACTGCAACGCCTCTCGGGCCAAGGCATTGCAACACCAGGTTGCCAGGCCGCTTCGGGCGAGGCCTGGAGGTGAAACTCCGCCTTGGCCGCGGCCGCGGCCCAAATCCCTGTTTCGCCAAAATTCAGCAACACAAATTAGCCCCGAGGGGCCTTTGAAACGTATCAGAAATCCATGGCTTGAAGAATGCACGTGTGACTGGGCAGTCCTTTTCCATCCCTTTTCCCACTTCCGTGGCCGTAGGCCCCGTAGGCTTTTCCAAGGTCTGCTTCGCAGACTGGCTGAACTCCTCACTGGAGCGAATTTCTAAGACCTGCGGGCACACGATTGACCATAAGTGTCCTTTTTGGTTATATTGGTCCAAACATAGATGGCCCTGCTTCACCTGGTGGTTTTATCATCTACCAGGGCCATCTATTTGCCAAAAGGACACCTATGGGTGGTTGACAATTGCAAGGCTCACGGCAAGACTGGACCTTGAGAGCATGCCGGAACCGCCGGGAACCCCCCGCCCCCTTAGCCGATTCTCGGAGCCTCAGCGCGAATTTCCCCGCAGAGGACAGCGAGCCCTCGGAGCGAAGCGGAAAATCGGCTCGGGACCTGGTGGCTTGGACATGCGCCAAGCGAAAGGTCAAAAGGTCGATTCGCTGAAAGGCTGTGTGCAACCAAGGACTCGTTTCGACACAGTAAGCATGTGGTACAACATCTGGCCTTTCACGCTGGTTCATCCAAGGGCCGCGGCTACAGATGGGCTCTTCATCATCTGCCTCTCAAACCTAAGCGTGACAGAGCGGAGGGCGAAATCAGAGGGCTCCCACTCCCGTTGGGCTGCCAAATAGCCATCTCTCTCACGGTTGATGGGGCAACATGGGCAACCCGTCAAAGACATGCCACAACTGTGCTGGGCAAACCAGTTGCTAGTTCGCTGGTTCTCTCCAAACGCTGCCCACATAAAGCAAGCAGGTCTTCCCCACCGGCACCAGCCGAAAGCTGAAAGGGCTCAAAGAAACTGGTGGGGAGGTTCGATGAAAGGCCCCTGTAGCGAAAAACACCTGCAGCGATGCACAGCAAACTCCTGCAGAGCAGCGCTCCAGTAGACGCAGCTCTCCTGGCGATTCTCGCCAGGGCTTGTTTGGGTCATTCGCAGGCTTCCAAGGCACCGCCTTGCAGTCGCTTCAGCCCTCACTGACTGTGTTCGCACGCATTGAATGTGGTACAGCCCACGGACATCCATCAGCAGACATCGCTTGGCTGCGTTGGGCGGGATTTAAGTCATGACATGTACCTCCTGTTAGGCTCAGAGTTGCCAGCAGCACGGCAGAAACGGTTTCAGATGGAGGAAAAGGCAATACAGAAACATCCATACTTGCGGGTTGCTTCAAGCCCCCCCCCCAAAAAAAAAAAAAAAAGAAGGAGAGATAACGCGGGTCCCACACGGCCTCCATTCATCATGTTCCCTCCCGCAATCCAGCCCCCCGCCTCTTGGACGCACCGCCCGCAGACATCCGACCCCTGCAAACAGCTGCGGGCAAGCTACTTGTTCCAGTGCTTGAAGGGGGGGAAGCCATCAAAAGGTTCAAATAGGAAAGCTTGCGTATGTCCCCAGGGCCCTTTTATTTCCCAAGTCTTGAAACTTCTAAGGTAGTGAATGCATCGCTATTTAAAGTCGGCCCGCCTGGCATCGTCCCGGCAATCCCTGAGCGAGCTACGCGCAAAACTATCCACAAAACGGGCCCGATTGTACTGAGTTATATGATTCCCTGCTTCCCTGCTCCGTATCTACCCTCACTACTCTTCAACTCGTCTTAAATCCCCGAAAGTCACTCTCGAACAACGACTTGGCCCACTCATGTTGCATCTGGCACATCTGGGAAACATGCAGTGCGGCAGGTCTGTTGGGCGGGAAAACCACATATTCAAAAAGGGATCCTCGAGTTTCGGAACGCGCACACTCAGAAATCCCCAAGCACGGCAAGCCCTGGACAAGGGCTGACTGGTCAACTGGCAGCCACTCTCCCCTGAGGAGCCCCACAGCATAGGCACCCCAGGCAAAGATAGGTGCTCCTCGCATGCGCTCTCCCCCAAAAGCTCCCCAGAGCGCACAACCCGAGGGCCCAAGCCAGGCCTCCTTGGATGGAGATCTCCAGTTGACACCCTCAGCCCGTCACATACCGCATGCTTTCCATGTGGCATGCCAACCGCCACCGCTTGCTGCGCGCCGTCAGAGTGCCCTTCCCAGCCCGAAATGTGGAGTTCCGCACTGATTGCCTGCATTGCAGCCAAAGCAACGGTCGAAGCTCGGCCGCGCTCGCCGCCTTTGGACGGAGACCTGGTTTCAGCGAAAAACGACAACTGCCCAAGGCCTCTTAGCAAACAAAGGTCACACTGTTCAGACACTTCGGCTGATTGAGGTCGGACCTTTCCCAGGCGCACTGCGATTTGGCTAAGATGCAATCACTTAAGCCTCTTCATTCTACGCTTTTCAGGCAACCCTCTGAGAACAATGCGGAAGTCTGTGATCGCGCCCTTTTTCCCTCACACGAGCTTTCGTTTGCTCCTCATGCTCCTCAGGCTCCTTCTGCGCTTGCGCGGGTCTGGCCGGTCAGGCAGCTTGCTGGACTGCGTCTGCAGCGTACGCAGGATGGCTCGGCAGGAGTTGACCGCGCTGTTGTAGGTGGCCACATCCACCTGCACCCCGCATTTCAGCATCTCTTCCTGAGCTGGCCATCCATTGGTGGCCAAATCCAGCACCTTCAAGGACCTCCGAATGGGAGCTCCTTTCAAATGACACCAAAAAGCAACTATGAGAAGTCCCTCCCGCAACGCCATCAAAAAGTGCTTGTTGCCTACCGGGACAATCGTGGAAAACCAGGAGGTTGAGGAGAAAACGATTTGGGCAAACTCGGATAGCTGCCAGCATTTCTGAATGGTTAATTTCCGGACCGACTTCATGAATCAAGCTCATCCGTAGGCACCCATTTGTGTGGGAACCGCTTGCTGCTGCATAGACCTGACGCACAGATTCACATGTATTGTTGAAATGCCTAATGTTGTGTAGCTAATTGAAGACACCCACTTGAACAAGTGTAAACGAGCTACGTATCTACGTCTAATAGAAAGTGGATGATTGTCGGTGGTACTCACGGTAAGCAACCGTGGCTGGGGTTCATGGAAATACCTGACCCTAGACAATTGCATGAGTGACCTGGAACACAACAATAAAGTTTGAGGCAAAAAGTGTAGACCAGTCAATTAAGAACCCTCGATGTGTCACCCAATCTTGCACAAAGAGCCGCCTGACGACCAATGGTCCCGTGCGCCCTGCATGGAGAATGGCTTTGTTCTCAGGCATCCCCATGCATCCCCAAAAAGCCACGGCTCCAGCAGCCACAGCGCCCTGAGGTGCTGCGCCCCCCGGTCGCAAGCCACCACCGCTGCCCGAAAGGCCTCGGCCGGTGGCACAAATGGAGCAGCTCGCAGGTCTTGGAGCAGCACCAGCGCCGGCTCCCAGCGCGAGGCCTTCTGACAAGCCTCCGATACGCTTGGATTCGGCCGGGAATCAAACCTCGGGTCGTTTTGGACTGGGCAACCTGCCCATAATCGGCATTCCTGTGGGTTGATTGGTGGCTTGGGGGAGGGCCTTCGTGGCAATAGGAATTTGGCCCCATAGCTTGGCGAAGCATTAAATGGGTGAGGGGAGGTGGGGGCGGGGGTGAGTAAGATCACCCAACGCAAACGCATAGTTAATAATCTGAGAATAACAAGCAATCGATGAATGATCTGTGACCAAATTAAGAGTTTCGACAAGTCAAAGTGTCAAACTCAAACCAGGAGTAAGCAGGATTGGCGCCTTGTGCAACACCTTGTTTGGTTGGAGCGGTTCCTCCCTCCAAGGCAATCAACGACACGGGGCCGTGTCATGTCTGACTGCTTTTTGGAATAGGCTGATGGGCCTGGCAGTTGCCGAAAGGTCAAAACAAATGCCAGACCACAAAAACCATCAAAACAATCAAAGCATCCAGCAGCCAACCCCAGCAATCCCTCCAGCTGCACTGCCAAACCAACCCACCAACCCGCCATGGCCTCCATGGCAGCCACGCAGGCAGGGCCATAGCTCTCCTCTGGAGCTGAACCCCCTGAGCCCCTGCTTTTGGAAAGCGACTGCTTTACACCAAGGCGGGTGACTTTGTTCAAGGTCTTGTTTACAAGGCCCTTTGTCGTGTTACCTTCTCCCCTTCACATCCACAAGGCACACGGGAAGGTGGATGTTTGGTGGGGCCCGCCCTGCCACAAACGAGAAAAGCAAAACCGCAAAACGGCCGTCAAGTGCCCACCCGGCCCCACCCTACCAGCCATTCCATCACTCCAACGGGGGCCTTTTACCAAAGCGACAACAGCAGACCTATGCAAGAGTACTCCTGCAAAATATGCTCAAACGAATACAAGGATGACATTTGTCTCGAAGGGACCCCCTTTGTCGGGCATTCAGAAATGCGAAAGCATATTCTTGGGTTTCTGGACCAGTGCCTTGTATCCAATGAATCCGATCCAAACTTGGACCCATCCAGCAAGGCCCCAAAAACGAACGCCATGCGTAAAGCTGATGGCTTCGATCTGTGGCATGAATCGACTGCTTGTGGGACCGGACCCACGTGGTGCGGTCTCAGGGGCGCACCGCACTAATCCTTTTGTTTCTTTTTCTGGAGGCCCACAAGCGGCGTTGTTGGGATGACCGTGATTTGTCTGCATCCCTTTCCGTGCGCAACTGACGTGACAGATTCTTGCCGGACACAAGGTTCTGGCCAAATGGCACCCACTGGAGTGCGTGCTGAAGCCATTGACCAAAAAAAGAAGATAACGATCAACCAACCCTCCTGCGGCCAAGGTATGCATGCTTAATGGGGTAAAAAAGTAGATGACACCATTCTTCCCCACTGCCAAAGCCATGTCCCACAATGAACTGTGTTATCTACCTTCGCTCTGGTTTAAAACCCGTCCTTTGAATGCCCTTGGGCAACACAGAAAATACAACCCTTAAAACCCAACCTCACTTGAGAAGAGCCCCAAACTTCTTGTTTACTACAACAGGCCTCCCCCCCAAAAAAAACACAACAAAAAAAAACATAAACAAAAAAGGCAAGTCAGCTCTGTAAACATCGGGGTTGCTCAAGAAAAACCGGTTTGACCCTGCAAAAAGTTTAACTGTTGGGGGGTTTCGTGGAACGCCAAAAATGATTTCCCAAAAAGTTAGTAGAGATCCAACCCAATAGCAGTCAAGACTGAGCCCAAAAGAAGGGCAACTGCGCCTCTCCTGGTCCTCAAGCTCCTCCAGCAGCTCCAGAGCCCAGCTCCAGGTGCGACCCTGCGGGGGGCCTCTGCCCTCCTGCGACTCGGGCAGGGCTCTTCGAACAACCTATCAAGATGGGCGCTTGGGGTCACCTCCTTTCACTTTTAAAAACAAAATCTTGAGCAGGGCACTTTCCAAAAACACACACCACACACGAAGAACATCTATCCTTGAACAAACGGATGCTGTGTGTTCTTGCTGTTGCTTGTGCCGTGTCTGTCTTGCGTTTGACCTGAGTGCTACTTCATAGGCGTCACAAGGTGCTCACATCATGTTCCTTTGCGGGGCAGGAAATTTTGAGACGTCTCTGCCAAGAAGTTGATGCCGTGAAAAGTCCGCTTTGTCTTTCGGTCACACGCCAGGGCTCCATGATTCTATCAAACCGTACTCAGGAATGCCCACTACTTGAAACACTTTCAGGATAGGCATAGTTTACACCGTTTGGCAGACAACAGGTCCTGACGGGGGGTAAACTTGAGTCAATACCAGGCGACCATTGCCCACCGCCGAAAGGAGAATCTGGCAGAATGGAGTGATTTTCGAATTGGGCACTGTTCCAAACAGTTCGGCTTCCCTTTGAACAAGATTCCACCCTGCCATTCAGAATGAGAGATGAAAACTAGTGCATTCGATCTGAACGTGCTTTCTCAAAAACAAAGAAGTGTCTTCAGATACGAGTTTGGGAATCCAAGATAAGAATTGTTCGTTCAAAACCTAATGGCCTATTGCATGATTCGTGCCTGGGCATCCCGTTCTGCGCAGCACGGCATGAACAAAAAATGCGAAAGGGCTACAAAGAGTAGTAAGGCAGTTGCTCAAAAATTAGCTTTTCAATTCTTCATACCATGTTGGCAGCACTCACAATCAATGGGGCACTTCTCAACTGGGGCGATGGGGCACCACTGCATCCTCAAGCTCCACTTTGGGCCCATGAGAGTTGCGCCGGCGAGCCAAGTGCCACAGCCAACGATCGGGACCCATCCAGGTGGATTTCCTTGAGCTTCCCCTCAAGACCGACCGTGGCTTTGCGCTCATCATTTGCATGTTGAGTCCTGGTGCTTTGCGTTTGGTGCTCTAAGTTAGCTCTTGGATAAACAGGTCCCTTTCCTCACTTGGGCCCATTGACGTAAACATGCTGGGGGGCTCCTTTAACTGGCAGAGGGTTTGGAAACGCTTGGAGACGGGTGTTGGGCTTGGGGAGGAGCTGACGAAGTTGGTCAAGCTGGACCAACTTACATCAAGCTGACTGGTCCCATCCCAAAGAATGCTTCAGCAACGATTGATTTGGTTACCTTCTTGGCGGCCTGAGAAAGTAGGCTACAACAACCAAGCCATGCACGCTGTCGTTTGAGGACGTTCAGGCATGTAGTTGAAACGCCGTGCGGCACACAGCTGTGTTCGCTTATGGCGTCCGAATTTCAAGCTCGTCATTGAATAATCCTCCTGCTCCAACCTCTGGCCCCAGTTCCCTCGAACTCGCGGCCTTTTCCCTTGGTTCCGGCTCCTGCCACTGCCAGGCCAAATGCTTCACCTGCAGCTTCCGCAGAAAGGCCGACAGCCACTCCGGCTCCGGGCCCAGCAGGCCATAGAAGGTCTCCTGGCAAGACAGCCGTGCCAAGGGGCGATTGGTCTGCAGCCGGGGGGGTCGTTGCCCTTTCGCCGGGGTCTGCATGGCTGTTCAACCGACCCTCGCTCCAATCCTGGGAAGCAACATGTGGACATAGACTTCAACCACTGGTTGCCTCCATAGCATTTCATCCTTCTCAAACTCCTTCCCCTTTCGACTTAAAAACTTCGCAGCTCGCTCACTTGGCATAAATAATAATGTTTGAAAGCATCAAACAAAGGCGAGTATAAGGGCCCCTGCCTAGAAATCTATCGCGGGGTTCTTTCTGCCTAGAAATGGGTGCATCCGTGCCTACCCCCTTCCCAGTCTGCCAAGGCTCAGCGCTGCCGGTGAAGAAGGTGATCTGCAGCCGGCCCTTGGCAGCCTCGATGGGGCGTATGGCGTCCTCCAGGGACATCCCGTGGACCTCGCGACACGAAGCCCCTCTCCCACCCTACCGAGATTGGCATGGAACCAAGACGAACCGAGAAAGCCAGCTGTTTCTCTGGATATGTATGCGTACAGAAATATGCATACACATGCATCTGCACATGCATGTGTGTATATATATATATATATATGTGTGCGTGTGTGTGTGTGTGTGTGTGCGTGTGTGTTTGTCGCAAAAAGGATCTCTTTTGGGGCGGTCCATGCTCATTTGCAGCAAAGAAGGATTTCAGGGGAGATTCTTCTTGAATGGGTGAGGCCGCTGTGTTGGGAAGTGGTTTTCCCCGAAAACTTGAAATCTGAAAGCTTGTGGCTGCTCCCGCCTTCACTCGTGGAAATAGCTTCAAAACATGCAGCTGTTTGTGACATATATAGAAATATACATATATATATATATATACATATATGTACGTACTATATATGTAATATACATATGCTATGCGTTTGTGTGCACATGTGTTTACATGTCATGTGCAAGTAGTCAGTTAGTTGCTCCTATGGGTATGTGCTCGAGGCCTGTGCCCGCCAACCCTTCGAAATGCAATCAGGGCGCGGGAACGCCATCGGCCATCAGCAGCTGCCACCCGGGCTCTATGAGCCCAAGTCCTGGTCGCATTCGACCCCCCCCCCACCTCAAAGTGAATCAATTTCTGTTATTTTCTTGTTTGTTTGTTTTTTAGTTTTTCTGTGGGGAGTTAGGGGGTTGGGGGGGGGGGGGGGTGAAACATGATTTCCTCAAACAAAAAATGGCCTCAAACAAAAGTGGAACCTTTTGTTCATTGCATGTTCACCTGCAAGGGTGTGTTTCTGATTGCGCCTCAAAAACTAGTCCTTGCGCGTTCCTGGGGCAGAGTGTGATTTGTGAGGCAACACTTGTTAGAATAAGGCAATCATGGCAATCCAGGCCATGCCCGTGCGACCCAACGATGCGCACAGAATGCCTAAGGTTGATTCCTCACGTGAAGTTGTCAGGGCTTGGTTTGAAACCGGGTTCTCTTCATGCTGCCTCTCATGGGCTTCTGGGTGAGTCCTTGTCCCCCGCTTCATGTCCAGAGCATGGCAAAAGGGACGAAACCAGAGACCCTTTCAAGCAACTTGCCTAACACTACTGGCTCAGGAGCGGCGCGGGACAATCCAATAGCCACACTGTCCTAAACTTACCCCCTAGTCGGTGAGCCTCACATTCTGGAAATTCTCGAGATAAGGTCTCCGGACCTACAAGACTCCAAGACCGAATCAAGTTGGGTCCAGACAGCCGAGGCTTTTGCGCGGTTCGGGTCCTTCTGCCCTGGAGCCCTCCTCCAGGCCCACCACCGACACCCCGCCGAAGATCTTGGAGTTCTCCTCCACTGTCATCCCCAGCCTCGGTTCAGGCGGCGGGCGGCTCTGTTGAACCGCTTTGAAAGCTGACGGCCAGGATCTGGAACAATCAAGGCTTTCCCCATAACGTCAGGAACCCCAAGCCTGGAAGAGAGCCCACGCCATGCGCGACAAGGGGCGGCTTCTCCAGCGAGACCGTCACGTAGTTGCTCTCATTCATGGTGTCAACAACGGCCTGGGCTCAGGTCTCAATCCTAAGCCTCACCAAAAAAGGGGGAGAAGAAAAAAACAAAACATTGAGCCCTGCTCTGGACCAGTCAAGGGGCTGGGCCCTTCAACAGGGGTGCCAGCAAGTCGGACCAGATCTCCTCCTCCTCGAAGTCCTCGTCCTCCTGGAAGAGGAAGGACAGCGGAGTTTGAAAGGCCATCTCCTTCAGCGGTTGCTTGAGCTCAATCCTCAAACCCTATGGGCAGTACACTTTGTTGGATGATTTGATATGACCAATTTTCTTGAATGATCCCGGGTTCAAACACATACAAAGTCACTTGCAGCGCAGGCTTGAGCATGCCTCTTTTTAAGATGATTTGATATGACCAATTCAAGAATGATCCCGGGTGGTTAACAAAACCAAAAAACATCATTTGCGCTCCCTTCCTCGCCCTCCTCCACAAGCCTCTCCCGTGGGAGGCTCTGAGTCAGCCACTCCAGCGGGCTGCTTGCATTGAGCTTCTGCAAGCTGTCCAAGGGGGTCTCAAATTCTATCTCGCCCTCCGGAACACCAACTGCCAGTCTTAACATGTTTGAACCATTCACGTTGCGTGTAGGACGGGCTTTCAAGCCAAATTTTCCCCGTGCCTCCGGAACCAGAGTCTCCACGTTGGGTCGAATCAAGTTCTGCTCGATGCTCTGCCTGAGCTGGTCTAAAGGCGTCTCAAACTCCGCCTCCTCCTCGCAGCGTCCGGCGAACCGCGTGGTACCTACTGAATGAGGGTGGCCTCTGGAGCAGCGGTCGACACATCTTGGCCCTTCAAAGCTTCCTTTTCTTTATTGCAGCCTTTTCGCCGCGGACACGGGCGCGACCTTCACTGCATGATCCCCGCGCCTCAGGCAGCCACGTCTCCGTGGGCTTTGGCGGCAGCAGACCCGCGCTCTCCAGCAGCGCTCGCACGTCCGGACCCTTCTTGGCGTGCAGCGCCAGGCGCGATGCAGAGCGATCGCTCGCGATGAAGGCCAGCCATGGCGTGGCCAGGGCCCAAGCCGCGGCAAAGCGCCGGGCCTTAGGCATCCGCGGCTAAGGTCAACCGCGTGACCAAAAGCGCCCTGGGAGCCCAAAAGCAGCACAACCCCAGGGAGCACCATCCCAATGGCAACGCATCTGACCTCGAGTGCGACAAGAGCGAGGAGGCCTGGGCGGCTTCGGCGGCCGGCTGCAAATGGAGGTCGGCCGGTCGCTCGGCGACTCGGGGATGGTTGGCACGCCTTTGTAGGGCGCTCGGTGTGAGCACTGGCATTGGCATCTAGCTCTCGGGGCAAGGAAGAGGCCATTGACTTTCAAAGGCACAGGCTACATTTAGGCACGGGCATTTTCTTCACTTGGCACATGCCCTTCGGCCCAATGAGCTCGGCGCTGTTAACGCGAAGTTTCTGCGGAGCGGGTGCCAGCACATTGCTGATGTCTCGCGAAACCTCAAGTCGCACCATTCCGCAAAATCAAGACGCTATAGCAAAAGGATCCCTCATCATCGTGAGCTTGTCTTTAGGTTGTGCCCTCCAGAGAGCTCGCAATCAAATAAAGTATGTAAGCCATCCACTGCCACGAGATCAAGCTTCCCAACTTTGCCCCTAGCTCCCTGTTCTCTCCTGCAGTTTGGTGGCTCGGGCAAAGCAACTCCTCCTCCCAGAAACAGTGGATGACCCAATTCAGTAAAAAAAAGGGTTAGTCTTTTTTAGGCACCCCTCCCCCCCCCCCCCCGGACAAAAAAAGAAAAAGAAAGACAAAACATAATGAGAAGAAGTGTCCTTTTGGCTTTTCCTTTGCTCCAACTTGCGCTCACGCCATGCACGGCACGGCGCCGTGGGCGGGTTGGCTTTTCCTTTGTTGCTCAGCAGGCAATGAGGGAATGAACCTGGGATTCCCTTAAGGGAAACCACAAGGGATGGCTTGTAGGGGTCATTCCATTTCTCATTCCCTACTATCGCGCCAGCAAGAACAGGGGTGCTCCTCAAAACGCGCCGCACCCCTCATTGATCAAGCACACAGCTCAAAGACCCGAGCCGTAAAATCCGCGAACTCGCGCGCCTCCAGGCTCAGCTGGCGCGGATCATCGGGCTTGGCGGCCTCCTGTGGCGCAATGGTGATTGGCACAAGTTGCAACCCGGTTCTAGCTGCACATGGTTGTGAAACTTAATATATATATATATACGTATATACATGTCTATATATGTATATGTATAGATGCGTACACATTCATAGGGAGAGGGAGAGAGAGAGAGAGAGAGAGAGAGAGAAAAAAAGAGAAAGAGAAAGAGAAAGAGAAAGAGACAGAGACAGAGAAAAAAAGAGAAAGGAAGAAGAGCCCCTTCTGCAACGCATTCCTATGACTCTTTTGTCACTCCAACGGGGATTCCATGGTGTTGCTGAATTGGATGAGCACGGTCGGACTCTGAGAGGAACAGCCAAGGACGTAGACAAGGGAAAGCCGGCAAACTGGGAACAACCGGCTGGACAATTATGTGCTTGAATTGGATTGGTGTAGGATGATAGATGCCCTCCTCAATTGGACCCCCTGTTGGATGGCGTGTGGAGTGGGGCCGGGAACGTTGGGATCCGCCCAAGTGATTTGACGACCTTCGTAGTGGTAATACTCGCAGGGCCCGCCACAAGCATGAGCACAAGGAATGCCAAGCAGGGATCCGTTCTTGCACGTCGCAAAGAACTGTTTCTACAATTTTGGTTCATGTGAGTGTGGGTCAAAATAAAACCACCTGGGGACCGCAGATTCCATTTACCAGGCTTTTACTTTGGGTGCCATTGTTGACCCACCATGTTGCGTTTCAGGAAGTTTAGGACCTGTAGAACACAACCCTTCGCACGAACGAAGACTCGTCTTATCCTGCAGCTCGCTGAGCATCAGCGTGGCTGAGTTCAGGTCGTTCACCGCCTGGCGCGCGCGCCTCTGAAATCCCAGGCGAAGCTGGGCAGGGAAGAATCGCTAAAGATCCAACCCAATAGCAGTCAAGGAGATACCAACCTGAAGGTTAACCTGGAACCCAAACAAAGGCACTACCAATTTTCAGGATGTTCCTTTTGAGCAGGAGGACCCCAGAAACCCGTTCTTAGAAGTTAACTTTGATTTGCAAAGGAACACATGGTGGTGGGGACCCAGCACTTTCAAGCTTCCTGCGCAAAGGCTAAGGTTCCAAAAAGGCTTCGGCTCTGCAACGCAGTTGATTTAGCGCCTGTAGCATAACCCATCAGGTCTTCTTCAGGCATGCTTCAGACCGGAACACCTGCGGCACGATCATCAACTCCCGCCTTGATCCTGTCTCCCGGCTTGATGGCCATGCTGCAATGCTTCTCCTCCTCGCCGCGATCGGCCTGGCCGCTGGCTGATGGGAAGGATGCTGGGCATGGGCCATCTCTTTTCAGAGCTCATGCGCTGCAAGCGTCAAGCGTCTGGAAGTCCTGGAAGAAAGCACATGCGCAAAGCTTGCCAGCCAGAATCGGAAAGCACTTGCCAGGGCGTGGCACTCCTTTGGGAGCCTTTGCAAGAGGTGCTTCCATGTTGCAAAGTGGGCCAAGGTGTCTTCGAAAAAGTCGCCACATCCATTGGCCTTGCCTCAAAACGCAGAACCACACCATACCGAGCCCCGAATCGCCATGATAAAAAACAAAAACAAAAAAACTCCCCACTTTGACACGCCAATAGGCAGCAAAGCCTTTGGAAGCCCACCGATCGCCGCCTGCCGCTCCTCCGCGGTGTTCCATTGGGCAATGGGTGTCCTCCGCGTCTCTCACTTGGAGAAAGGGAACGCGATCCAAGTTGAAGTCAAAAGGGGCCCGGGTTAGCAAAGGTTTGGAATTTCCACGAAGGATGCGAAGCTCTGACCGGCCTCTGCCGAGGATTCTCATCAACATCCTCGATGAGCAGCCTGCAAAAGCTGCAACTCGGGATTTGGATTCAGCGGTTGAAAAGGCTCAGACCTTGGCGGCGGCCGGCCAAAAGCTTCACGGGACCCAAGTAAAGGGTAAACCCGCCAGTGAGAAGGAAGTACAGAATCCAGTAAAGGGAAAACAACGGGTCAAGAAGCTCCAAGTAAGACGCAACCGCAATACCTCGGCTTTGGGGTCTGGTCTGGGGCTCTGTGGGGGAAATCTTTGAGACAAGTCTGCCTACTATCACTCAGAACTTCTCCGAGAGTGCAACTCTCCAAACACGCCATGAGTCCCTATGTTGTGAAAGATTGCTTGCGCGTGAACCAACGCTTCGTGTACGCAGCTCGGGTTTCGGCTTACCCGGCAGTCCTCCAGAAATTGTCAAAATGACGTGGATGGCTCTAACAAGAATCTGGCGTTCGTTTCAGCATGTTCTTTATAGCTTGCTTGCTCAGTGCGCTGGACTTGGCCAACTCTTCTTCCAAGGAATGCCTGTGGCATCCATGGCATGGAGCAGCAGCCGTGCTAGGTATGCACGTGGACCGCCATAGTTATGCCGAACCTGTGGTGTGATAACCCTTTTGGTTTCGGATGGGTTTGAGCATCATTTCGGCGGCCTCTTCCCTGTCAAACTCGGCTGATTGGGCGCCAGGGTCTGACTCTGTGGATTCTGCCCCAGAAAATTATCCTGCAACACCCGCAGGTCTGACCGGTCCTCGCCTTGACCTCGAGGAATCCCGCTTCACCTGGCGCAGCCGGGGCCGGGCGGCCGGGCGGCCGGGCGCTGATTTTCTGCCCAGAACCAAACTGTTTGCTGCAAGTGAGAAAGGAATGGACCAATGGAGGAGTTGAAAAACAAGATCGCAGCCTGGACTGGTTGAACGCCCTTGAGTTGGAACACCGGGCAAGAAGCACTAACCATCACTAACCGAAGCAACTTGGCCTCCATTCCGATCCGCGCTATCGGATCCGCGTGGATTGTCACGGGGCTCGGCTTGTCCAACTGTACCTGAGGCAGCCGTGCCTGCTTTTCGACCGTCTCAACTCGCAGTCTGGGTCTCTGCGCGGTCTTTTAAAGCAGGGGCGAATAACAATCGCCTTCCGCCGACAAAGGGGATCCGAAAAAGCATAGAGCAAGGTGAAAGTGGATTGCATAATTCCCCTCAATTCCGGGCAAAAGGGGTGACTAAACCAAAAAACTGCCATCTCCTTTAACCCAACTCGCCTCCCCCTCCGATTCGAGGCGGGGGCCCGAAATCGCGCAGAGGTGCCGCGGAGGTCACCGCGCTGCTGCATCAACAAGGCCTGCCACTCCGTCTGGGCTCCGAGCGAAACTCAAAGGAGCTGCTTGGCACCGGCCCATCTTCAGACTTCTGTCACAACTCGCACCACATGAAGGCGGAGCAAGAGATTACATGGATTGCCAACCTGTGGTCCGCAAATTGTATGCCCATGGCTGGCCATCCACTTCCCCAAAAAGTATTCTAATCCTGCCTGCGACGGCAGGCTGCTGGCCCGTATGCGCGACATGGCGGAAAAGCTTCAGAACTCCAACAAAACGGCAGACTGCCTGCTCTGACCTCTCTGAAGCGTGGACTCGCCGCACTGGGGCAAAAACGGCCTCTTGCGAAAAGGTGGATGACCCATGACCCACAGGTACAAAGTCCGCCCTCTTCAATTCACCCTCACACCCCTCAATCAGCCAGCGACGGCACCCTTGCTGGCAGGCAGCCGCTGGCAGTTCTGATGCGGTTTTTCTCAGTTATTGATTGCGGGCTTGTAGTCAAAACGGCGGGGTTGCAGGGGCACTACTTCTGCACCGTCCGCAGAAGGCTCATATCCGATCCCGGCCCCACCTTCCACAAGGGAAGCTGGTGACCCTCGACCCTAGAGGGTCCTGTTCTCTACTGCCAGCTTTCGCCCCAGATCTCATGAGCACAGCACACACTACTTCAGAAGCGAAATGGCTGGGGAAAGCTGGCAGGACCCAGGACTGGGTCCGGCATTTGCCTGGCCGGCTCTCAGCAACACAATCCAACCGCAAGCCGTCCGGCTCGAGCCGTGCCAATAAGCTATGCCTCTCACATGGGCCGCATGCCAGGCATGCCCGGCATCGTCATGCCGCGCCCAGCGCCCGGCATCCCCATGCTTGGCATCCCCATGCTTGGCATGCTGGGCATTCCTGGCGGAGCTCATGGCAAGTCATGCAGCGAGCGTGGAGCCCCATGCGCTTTCTGTTGGTTTCCTCATGGAGCCCTCCCCTTGCCTGATCAAGTACTTTGAACGATAATTCTTATGCCTTACCCCTAGTTGGCGGTTTGGTTTGGTGGTTTGGACTTCTCACTGCTGAGTGTGAAAAACTGCAAGCCCCTCACATATTGCAAACCCGGGACACCGCAAGCATGTTTCTGTCCCTACCCTCGATTTTGTACACCCCTATATCGGCCCGAGAAAGAGTACGGGAGTTCCCGTGAGCGCGTGCTTTAGTAAGCCACCAGTTGCTATTTAGCACGGCTTCCCCTCAAAGAAACGAAGAAAGGAATCCCACTCTGAGGACGGACCTCCTCAACAATACCTGGGCTCATCAGGGAAACATTCCTCCCAACCTATACCTTAGACGCACTTCTGCGGGCTTCTTCCATGTCAAGAAGGAGTTTCAGCTGCTTTCCCCGTGCCTGGCATGGAAGGCATGCCGGGCAGCCCGCCCGGCCGGGCCAAACCCAGCAGGGGGTTCAGCATGGGGGGCCGCATGCCCGCCAGCAATGCCGCCGCAGGGTTCAGGGAAGCGCCTGAGCAGGTTCTTGGGTCGGGGCCCGTCAGCCATCCTCACAGGGCTGTTGGGGGTTGGGGCTTTGAACATTTAGGGGTTTTGGGTTGTGGATGGTTTGGGTCAGGGCTTGCTTCCTGACGTGCAATGATGGCAGGTTCCAAGGAGACCAATGTTTCTCCCCCAAAACCCCCCGAAAACCCAACCCCCCCACCCCCACCCCCCCCCACCCCCACCCCATTGCGCCTGTGGAGACCGGCTTGGGCGCAATGGGCTTGGCCGGCGTGGCGGCCACCGCCTGGGCCTTCTTTCGCGGCTTCTCCGTCTCCACCAGGTCCTGCCGATGCCCAGCCGACCCGCCCCGCAGCCGGGGCCAAAAATGCGTGCGATCGCTGCAATGGGTCTTGATCTGGGAATGAACCCAGGCGTTGGTCTTAAAGGAAACCACCAGTGGCATGGTTTAAAAAAATGCTGGAGCAGGGGGAATGAACCCGGGCTTTTGGTCCCCTAAAACACCACTTGGCTGGTTTATCAGGGTACGTCATTCCATGTCTCATTCCCGCGGAGCACCAGCAAGAAAATGGAACGGTAAATGGAATCAAGGACGAAAACCCACTGTCGCCTGTTGGTTTAACTTTGACCCATACCCAACTCACCATTTGGCAAAAACAACTTGAAAACCGCTGAAGGATTGCCGAAACAACCCCGGCTTGTTTTGGGGGGTCAAGGGCTTGTAGGGGCCTAATGCAAACTGACATCCAAAACGGGACACTCCCGTTTCCGGACCTCAAAAAGGTCGGACAAGGTTGCACTTTCCAATGCACCCCAAGAATGCATCAGAGCCTGTGACCCCATTCAAGCTCACATTCATTGGCTGCGTGAGTGTCCGATTGAGATCCCGAGGGCATCAAAGTCAGGCGAACTCAGTTGGCAAAATGACCCACGGGTTGGCAAACTTAGAACGAGGCTGTAGGCAACCAGTCTCACGGGCACCATGTTTGTGGGACCAGTCCCAAACCCCCCCAAACTGTACAAGGGAAGGCGTAGCAGCAGACTTTGCAGATGCGTGGAGGAAGGTTGGGCATGTTGTCTGATCCTTTGCTGAAGCTCAGTTTCGCTCCTCCTTGCCAAGTTCCTCCGGCTGAATGTAGAGAATCCCAGTGCCGCGGACCACTATGAAGCCGAGCATCCTGCCCACCGCATGGCCCCAACGCTGGGATCATACACTGAAACCATGCGCCAACATGGGCTTTGGGAATGGGCACACCGCCATTGGTCAGCTTAAAGGACTTGTGCCGCGAGTGAGCTATTTGGCCATGGGTCAACATCCCGAACTCCCAGTGAACATCCCAATCCCAACTGAAATAGACTCAAATGGGTGATGCACCTACCCCAAAATGGTACCATTGGTTTTGACCCAGCCATTTAGTCCTCCCCAGCGACCTATTCGCATCGCATCCCGCCTCTTCAGCTCCTTACCCTCAGGCTTGCCCTTGACCTTGTACTTGCGGTACTCCTGCCATGTGTTCCCCCTTTCGGCCGCTTTCGTGCTCAAGCTACCCGGACACCTTGGGCCCAACGAGGGCCTGAGGAGGCCCATCCTTATGCTTGCCGCGCCTCTGTATTGCACAGGACGATGTTGACATGCCTCAGCGCTTCGGAGGCGAAAAGAGGTGCCCCCAGCTGTACCCAACTGGGTGGTAGCTCAGTGAGCGCAAGGCACTGGGCCGCCCGCCTGTCTACTGCCATCAGGACCCCAACCAACACGCGGCCATCCGTCAAGGTGACACTCACCTTGGAAGTGAAGCAGCTGGGGGGTTTGGACACATAAGTGCGGGCTTCATGGACACACACACACACCCTGTAAGAGATCACGCACCATCCGGAGGTCGAGTCATCGAGTCCGACCCGGCTGACTCGACCTAAGGGCCCCGGCGCGCCAGTTGAAGAATTGAGCGAGCTTGCGCCTGCGAGGCCGGCTGATCGGTCTCGATTTGTCACATCCAAACAGGGAGTTTCTCTCAAAGTGGCGGAAGTTGCAAAACCATAAAGAAGCCGACCTGGAGGGGCCCTGGCCTTGGCCCAAGCTATGGCTCAGAAAAAACCTTCTGCACCGTTCTTCTTTTTTTTTAAACGAATGCCAAGGGTTTCCAAACAATGCATCACTGGCCCCGTGGCATCCTCAAAATCAGACACCGCTTGTTCAGCCCTCATTTTGAGGCTGCCAGCAGCAAGATCGTTGCTGCTGCAAGTGCAAACTTGAAATCGGCGAAGAGGTTGGCTTCCTATCTTCGGAAGCCTCCCTTCTAGTGAGTTTCACCTTGATCATTTTTGCAACCATCCAACCAGCGATGGTCGGAATGCTTGTCGCCAGCCTCACTGCTCGGACTTTTCCCATGGTCCTGGCCACTACGAAAGTGGGGCAAGCTGGACTCAAACCCGGCCTTCCAACTGCCAGGCGGGTGCCGAGCGCCGTTTCCCTCAAAAAATGTCTTGTTTGTCACAGTCACAATACAAGGTCCCTGCTCTGGATGGGTTTTTTAGGGGCGCGTACTTCGCTTTTCGCTGATGACCAACTCATCGGGCTCAATTTGGCGAAAAGCCACGTGGCGCGGGATCCGCGGGTCCTGGTTTGGTCAGTTCGCCCGCTTCTGATGAGCCCCAGGCGCTGCGGAAGCCAATTTCCTCACCTCGGACCTGTCTAAACCCCCGGAAGCCCTACCTCCAGGATGAAATTTTGACAAAACATTGGCATTGCACCGGCTCTGCATGCATCAAGGGTACGCTCTGTGGAACCTCAAGATGGGTCCCTGACAGGCACATGCAGGCACATATCCGCAGCTCCCATCAAGCAGCGTCTTTTCGACCTGCCTAGCACAGCCAGTGCATTACCTGACAAAGAAATGGCGCATGCAGAGCATGTGTTCTGCTCTGCTCGGCGGCACAATGCAAACAAGTGACAAGCTGGGGAAACAAGCATTCTTGGCACCACTCTGGTATGTGCAAGAGACATTGCTTTGCATACATAAATGCATATGTCCCAACAAACATGTTGTAATTCCCAGGCACCACCTTGTTTGGTGGGGCTCCCATTTTGGGACACATATGCCCAAAACACACCAGACTCGCAGACTCGGAGAGCCGCCGTTGCGCAGGCCAAAGGCCGATGAATCTAGGGGTTGATTCCCCATTCTTTTCAACCATCGTTTTTTCCAACAACCGGTTTTCCCTGCGTTTTTCGGAGGTTTTCTGGAACGAATGGGGAAGGTACCCTTAGAATGAAAGGTACAAGTCGTCGAATTGACCCACTCAGAGGTCCGCGACCTCAAAAGGCTGCCTGATGCTGCCTGCCACGGATGGGGTCCAGACCTATCTGAGGCAGGGGTCGGTTCACATCAGGACAGTCCCAAAGAAGGCGTGCCAAAGGCGCACTGGCCAGCCAAGCCGAAACAACCCCAAACATTGCCTAAGCAGAGACTGAGCAACGCTGGCTAGGTGGTTGTCCAAGCACTTCATGCGAGTACGGGCAGCCCCCCCTAACAAAAACAAGGTGTCCGTCCCAACAGACATCCAACGTGGAATCTCCGATAAGCATCGCCGACGAAAGGTGGCCTAACCGACCTCTCCCCTTGACAACTTTCATTTCACCCACTCCCCGCATGCTCAGGAACTGGGCGAGTTTCATTTCTGCCATGGAAGGATGACAACCATGAGGTTGATGGCAAGTTCTTAGAAACTCCTGGCCACAGAATTGGGCAACCTCGCTGGATTTGTGATCAAAGCAACCCAGCGCAAGCATATCAGCTGAGCAGACGATGCATCCCTTTCGCGCCTCTCAGTCTGACCCCTGCTTCTTCTTCGTGAGGTTCACCTCAGTGGCCCAAAAGAGACACAGCCCTCAGAGCTTTGCTGGGCCAACGCTCACCTTCTTGCCAACAGCCCAAATGGAAAGGAACCGCATGAAGGGCCAAGCTCATTTTACCCTCCGAGCCGGCCATTTGCCTAAACTGCAACTGAAAGCAACCTCCAAAAGGACGGCACTTAAGCTCAAGTATGTCGCGCCAAGCTGCCGTCTCGCGCTTAAGCACATGGAGCAGCGTCTGGGAGGATTCGAGGATCTTCATGTACGCCGCCTGGCCAGGCAAAAAGGCCTGGAGTGACAAGCCGAAATGCCAGGCCAAAATGTGTTCAATTTGACCGCTGGAACAGAAAACATCCGGAGGCTCGGAACAGCCCTGGTCTTCTTGGGCCTTAAGCCAAAAGTTGCAGGCCACTTCAGGCCACTTCCCAAAAGGGCTGTTGGGCGTCTAATCGTCTGCGCATGCGTTTGAGCAAGAAGCACTTTGAACAAAAATGACAATGAGCACAACAGAAGCTGTATCTCTATGCGGAACATTGTCAGACCTCAGCGATTTGGTACGGTCTTCCCCATCCCCTTTTGACAAGAAAAAAGAGTGTGCGGCAAAGCTAATCTGCTGATCGCTGTGCCACCTCAGTCTCCTGGATCGTCTTGTCATACTCGTTGCGGGCTTGCGTCTTACGCACCAGGCTCTCGTTCACCTGACCCATGAACAAGGAACAAGGACCATGGCGCTAATGCTCCCACCTCACTCCAGTCTGAGAACCTAGCCCCCCTTGCCACCCATGACACACCCTCTATCTAACAATCATGGAAGTGGACAAGGGGCTTCCCCAAAAGGAAAGTGGTCTTCCATGTCAGCTTCCATTGGAGGGAGGGGTTTTAACGAGGCCACTCAATGACCGCACCCAAACCGGCCAGAGGAGGCCTTCTGCAAGCGATCCGTGAGGATGGAGAGCTCCTTCTGGATCTTGGCCTTGTCCTCCTCTTCCTCACGGCTTGGCTTACTGAAGTGCCCGCTGCCTGCAATCTTCCGGGGGTGCCTGAGCAATCTCTTGTACTTTAGCCCTATGTTTGAAAACCGGTAAAAACAATGGCAATGTGCAAACACCCCTCCAAACAGCACCGAAAAAGCCCTATAGCTACTGTAGAAACAGTGCATTGAGAAACAAAGGCAAGAACCCTGCGGCTTCCTGCAAGGGTGAACGCACACTAAATAATCAGCAAGCAAAAGCAAAGAGCAACAAACAAACAAACAAACAAACAAACAAACAAACAAACAAGCAAACAAGCAAGCTGACAAACAAACAAACAAACAAACAAACAAACAAACAAACAAAGAGACATACGCAAATACCGTCTTCCCCTTTGCCCGGACCCCATGTAATTCTTCTCTCCTTCAGGATCTGGCGGTTCAACTCCTCCCTCTTCTCGCGCAAGTCTTCGATGGACTTCACCAGCTCGTTGTTGTAGTTCCTGGTCAAACGAAAGCCTTTGTCAAGCCCTGATCTGACTGTTGCTGTTTCTGTGTTTGCTTTCTATGGATGGATGTATGTCATGCACAGTCGCGTAGTGGAATGCAATGCAATGTAGCGCAGCGCAATGTAGAGTGTACTGCGCTGTTATGTACGTACCTGTGGTTGCGTGTCTGCTTGCTTGCTTGCTTGCGCTTACTTGTGTGTCCGAACGGAGCACAGCTGACGAAGGAGCCCAAATGAAACGGACGATTTATCCGCATGTGCGTTCCGTAGCCAAAAGTACGCCGGAAATCATCATACTTCAGCGTCGTCCTTTCCGGTTTCTTTTCAAAACCGAAATCGTGGGGCTTGGCAAAGAAGGATCCCTCTAGGAGAGGGTCCAAGGCTTCGTTCGCTGCGTGAGATCATTCAGCACCCAGATTCTTACATGACACCGCCAAGCGCTCTCAGCCAGGCGACCGTCCATTTCCCAAATGCTCTTTCGCAGTTGGAACCAAGTCGGGGGGCCTTCATAACGTGGAGTACTGCGGGGGTTGGTGTGTTTACCCAGCCTGCTGAAGTTGAGGCCCCGGCTGCAAGGTGGCCCCCTGAGATGCCATCGCTTTAGTACCTTCAGCAGCCGCATGGGGTGTCTGCGAGGGAACCCAGAAACCCTCTGACCAGAAAGACAAAGGCAAGAGAACCAGCAAGGTGGCAAGGGAGCAACCATGTGCAAGTGTTCAAAGGGGTGCAAGTAAAGTTCCATGATGCCTCCAGGGTCTCGCCAAGGCCTATTTTCGAAAGAGCACTGCAATGCACACAGCTCGCCCAAAGTGCGCACCAAGGAGGCAAGCCAGGAAGGCAAATCAGCCAGAACGGCTAGTGCGGGCTGGGAAGCAACTGGCAGTGTTGGCAAATAAATAACAGCACAGCACAGGCTCAAGCAAGCTCCTCCACTCCAGGTCACGGGCAAGAAAAGGCCTATAGGAACAGCGACAAAGTGCAAAACCCATTCCAAAGCAAATGGTGCTGAACGCTGGCCGCTTTTCTTCCCATCTTGATACGCTGCTTCCATTAGAAGGCCCGACCTTCAAATGACCTCTAAGGAGACTGTGACTGAATCGGTTCATCTCAAAAGTCAGCACTGGTCAAATGTTGGCATTCCTTGTAGAATACTTCCGAGCTCAGCGCCTCCGGCGTGGCGCGCGGCTGTCTGAGGCGCTTCGCCTCCGCGAGTCGCTGCGCACTCGGCGGGGGGACCGGGAGTCCGAGCGGCGGCGCCGGTCGGAGCGGCGCGGGGGGGAGCGCCGCGCGGGGAGCGCGGCTGGACCGCGAGCGCCGCGGGGACCGCGAGCGAGAGCGCGCGGCGCGGGGGGGAGCGGCGCGGAGGCGAGCGCCGGGGAGGCGACCGCCGCGGGGAGGGGCGCCGCTGACGGTCTTGTCTAAGCTGGTCGAGGAGGGGTCTCCTTGCCCCTGATGGCGCTGGGGCATGGTGGCTGTCCATTTGATTCGTGATATCAAGAACAATCAGGGCATCTCGCTGAATCGCATCTGGGTCCGTAGTGGTTGCAAGGCTCATAGGGCCACCTGCCGTCCTTCCCTCCTTCAGCTCCTCCACAATTTTCTCTGGCTGTGCGATGCAGTTCCGAGACAAGTTGAGGTAAAGCTTTGGCAGGTCTTTCCCATCGGCCCGGTTCCGCTCCCAGTACGCACCTTCGATGATCCGGCGGCAGAATTCCTGCCCAAACCGGTTGCCTGCCAAGGACACGTGCTCTGCATACCTGGAATGCTTTCCAGCTCCGAACTTCTTGACCAGCCGGACGATCTCCAACTCTATGAGGTCGTCCTTATCGTGGCCTGAGAATTGCGACATGTCTGCTGATATACATGTACATCCAGCGAAAGCTAAGCAGCGCACTGAACCCTTCCAGGTTGCAATTGTCAAAGATCACTTTTCGGGCCTGTCTTGGACTTTGACATACTTTGACTCTCTTGCCCCGTCTCCCCAGTTCCATCTCCGCTCCCCCGCGCCTCCGTGCTGACGCGGACAAACTGGACAATCAGCTGCACCGTCTCCGCCCGCCGCTTTAGATCTTAGCGCCCAGATCTTGCGGCCCGCCCCACCAATTGTTCGGTATATCTTTCTGGGGGTCCCGGCTGGCCTTGATGGCAGCGGCATGCTCCTGACCCAAAAGAATCTTGAAGATACATGCTGCCGTGCGTGTTCCAACAGCTCCCCAAACCCATCTGACTCAACACCTGTGCCCACCCCCCACCCCCGGGTCCGATGGCGCCGGCGCCGTCAGCAGGGAGTTTCCGCTCAGGTTGATCTCGTTGATCGGCAGCGTGGATGTTCTCGTCGGCATGAGCCTTAAGCTTCAAACGCGCCAGCCCGCAGGTCCCTGTCGCCATGAACGCGCTCGCGTTGTTCGGCCCGCTATTTTCACGTTCACCTCCAAGAATCTTGGAATAATTGAAAAGGGCCATCACCCCGCGCCGATGCAATGAAGGGTCCGGCAATGCTCAGGGCTACAGCTCTGCCAAGAAGCCCCTTGATTCCACCGATCTTGCCCACGGCCTTGACGGTTTTCACCAAAAGGTCCTGTGGACAAGCCCTCGCTGCTTCGCTCCAGCCTAATGTCAACTTCGGAATTGAACGCGGATTCCGTGAAGCACCACGTGAAAGCTTTCCCCACTCGAACCGAGCCCCCCAAGATCAAAAAATCGGCCCCTTCGTGAAACAGGTCACTCTATGGAAGGATTCTATACAAGCTCGGGCTGACGTGTTGTGTCGTTCTGTCAAGCTGAAGTGGTCTGTTGTTCTCAACTCTTGCCTCCTGCCCTTCAAAAGCGCTCCTCCGGCATGTCCTCCCCGGACATGTCCAACACGCCAGTCGTCAGGCACTGGCGGGTATCAGGGCGTCAAGCGGCCACTGTCGAAAAGCCCATGAGACTCTAAGGGTACATTCCAAGGAGGTATTTCAACCTTCCAAAATCATCCTCACAGGGTACTCAAGTTGCGGCAGTCAGGAGTAGATTCTCTGTAAGCCAATTATACACGCTGACGCATAACAATCAGTAAAAACCAGGAGTTTTTAGATCGGATTTCAAGCGATTCGGAATCGCCTGGTCCAACAGTCGGATGCACTTCAGCGCAGTCTCCCTGGTCCCGCAGGTCTTCATCAAGCCTCGGGGGCGGGTCAGCCTTCACCTTTTCACCCATTTCTGGCTGGAAAGGCAGCCACACTTCCCCCTGAAAAAGCAACAAATGAGGCCCGAACATGGGTCCCCAAAAGCAGAGCCCTCTACAAATGAAGTACTTGTGGCATCTAGCTGGCAGAATACATTTGCGCAAGCCTGCCGAACCGCTGATACCCTGATGAATAAACCGCAAGATATCAACTAAAAACACCCCCCACTACAGAGTGACCTTTTTTGCTCATTGAGCCTTCCAAAGCAGAGATTCCCCTCATGAGCCTCTGGATTCCTGTACCCGTTTCAAGCAATCCTGGGCTGTCAGAGCCCCAAGCTGTCAAAGACAGGACCCTTAAAGATAAGGCAATCATCAAATGCCGTGAAGTCCAGCAACACGGCCACCACAACCACACAAACGAAGGTTACAGCCTCAACGGTGCTTAAAGGTTGTCCAACCCTAATGATCCAAGTCCCCCACCACATCGCCCCCGTCTAGGCGACAGAAGGTAGCAATGCGCAACGATGAGTGTGTGGGGCGTGGCTGAACCAGTCTGGAGCATCCTGTTTTTCCCTCAAGGCGCAGCCCCAAAAGGACCCAGCAAGCATTGCCGGCCGCATCAGCGGAGGACTTCGGGACACACTATGATGGCATCCACCAAAAGAAGCCTGGTGGATGACAGGACATGCCTGTCGAACACAAGACGCCTAAAGGCAAATCCCAGGCAGGCTTCACCCTGCCTCATGCCAAACCTAAAGTGAGCCTCAAGGCCTGGCAACCTCGATGACACCTCGCGTGGTAGGACACCTGTCATTGAACCTCATGATGCGCCACGCGCGGCCATTGAACGTCCGCATCTCTGGCAGGTCGTGGCAACGGGCGTAATCTCCCATTGCTGTGAAAAGCTCCGCCTGCGACGCACGACCTTGCGGAAGCATCTCAGAAGCCACCAGGATCTTCTGAACGCCGGCGCGACTGTTGGGCCCAACTCGCCACTGTGCATCTGTCCCGTTGGATAGAAATGCCTGGCGCAATTGCCTATCGAGCTCCTGGGTTTTAGCCTGACCTGCTGGCAGCAAGTCTAGCTTGCGCAAGCGATACTTGTTGTCAGTGCTGTTGACAAAACAGAAGATTGCTTCTGTCAAATCCGCGTTCAGATCCTCATCCATGTAGCCAAGCTCCGTCAAGGCCGCGCATGTCAAGTTGGAGGAATCGCTCAGCATGAACGGGCCTCCGCCGCGAAAGATTCTACGAGCCAGCCGAGATCCAAATTTGGCTGCCTTTCCAGTACCTGGGCCGCTGACTGGGAGGAAGAATGCCAGTGGCTTACCACTGGACTGCCATGATCGAATGCTTGAGACCGATGTGATCGCATCTCTCATTGCTGTCACGGCGAGGTTAAAGGGGTACACCGTCAATGTGCCCAGTGAATGGGCAAACCAGAACTTGGCAATCAATTGGTTCAAATATACGCGTTCGCCAGTTGGGAAGCCGCATTCTTGCAGAATGTCTGTCATTTCTGCGGCGGCTTCTGGAGTGAGAAACTCTGCATATGGCTCAGCTAGTTTGACATTTCCTGTGCCATTAGCCTCAAGAAGAGCTCTGACATGGCATGTGTTGTCCTCCTCTGGCAGCTGCTTAACTTGCATCCCGTTCTCTTCGTAATACCTGATGATCATTGTCCGTCTTGCTGGAATGAATAACACAACCTTGTTCCCAGACACAATGCAGTCCTGTAGCTGGCTCAAGAAACCTGTGTCAGTTGAAAGCAATGCCACGTAACCAACCCCTTTGGCTCGCGAGAGTGCTTGAATCGTGTCTCGAATGGCATCATCATTGGCCTCCCTTCTCTCATCCAGTCCTCGCACCACAGGTCGGAATACGACGTTCCGTCTTTGAAGAAACTTCTGCCAAGCCTGATTTTTGTTTCTGCCCTTGGGCGGGCCAAAAACTGTGGCGTTCACCGCTCGACCCTCCTGCTCCAGCATCTGAATCGCCTCCTGTATGCCTTGCTCGGAAAACAAGGTTTAACCATAAGCTGGGCCTCTTGATATCTTGGCTCTACGGGACCCAACTAAGAAAACCCAAAGGTCAAAAGGTCAGCTCGGAATGGCTCAGATGCTACGGAGACTGTGGACATCTCCATCCACCAGCAGCTCAGCGCGGCTTGCCCGGCAGATTGCACCGCGGTGTCCGTGTCCTCGGCGAGTTCTGACCAAACTCGCGCAGCCAGCTGTCCCGGCGACCAAGCAGCTCACCTTCGTGCTCCGCTGATCCCTCGCCAAACGTTTTACTAGCGGCATATGTCACAAATCAAATCCCTCCAAACTCTAAAAACCTCCTGGGAACCGCCAAGTCACCAGCCCCTTCTCTGCGAAAGTGCGGAAAAAGGCGTGCGGAAGTGTGGCCCTGGCTGGTCCATGGCTCAGAGGGGCACCCCCACACAGCCTTTGGTTGGGGCCCAACGCAAGCATTGGAGCCCAACTGCGGAACCCAGCCTGCCGGACCGGCTTCAAACAACTTGCGCAGTTGCTTCTTTGGGCGGGGACTTCTTTGACACATTGCCCGGCGTCAAGCACAAATGTCGTGGCCGGATGTGTTGATCCTCATGCCCTATCATACGGCATGGGAGTAAGAGCGCAACACGAAAATGCCGCACGTTACTTTGCTTAGGTAGCCAGGGATGGCCGGAGAAGGAGCGGGCCTCATTCTGCCACGGCAAATGCCGAGCATAGGTTTTCAATCCAACGCCGGGCTGTGGGTAAGTGTGGTGGACGTGCACCAGAGTCATCTAACCTGAGGAGCTGCAGTCAAGCAGCTGACATCGTCCAGGATCTCCTCATCTGGGATGTCCTCGCACGGCACTGGGGCTTGAGCCCTTCAAGGTACACTTCAGCCCTGAGGGGTGGGGAGCATAAGGAAAAACCCGAAAGCTGAAGTGCTTCGATGTCCATTTGCCTCCAACCCCTGATGCATATCTCCCAAAGATCCGTCCTTGACTTGGGGCCGCTCATCTGCCGCGCCATTGGTGGGGACGATGCCATCAACAGGCATCCTCGGCTGGTGAGTGAGGGCCGGCCAAAGGATGCCCCTGGTCTACCCGACCGGGGTCCCTCTAAGAGGAAACTGAGCTTCCAGGTACCCTCTCACAGGTGCCATGTTGGGTAGACTCTCAAGTCATCCAGAGTAAAATCTGATTAACATGCACTAGCTCCAACCCAAGGTCTATTCCACAGCTCTTGCCCAGCCTTCCGCCTCCATGGCCATTGAGAGAAGGCAAATAGATGGCAGTCCAGTCAGTCTGCACATCGAATGAATACCGCGGGTTTTCCGGGAGTTGGACCCTTGGGATTCGAACAAAAAAGCAGTGCCAAGGACTCCATCTTGACAAGATGCAGAGCCACAAATGCGGCCACACCTGGCGGGAGCACGGAAAGGTCGTCAGAGCCTAGCTGCACCTTTCGGATGAAAAGGACCGCTGCGTTTTGTTGATGCCAACAACCGTGCCATCCAGCAAATTGCATGAAGCAAATTATCCCCCATGGGCTAAACCCAAAACAATCCCCATGAGTATGTGACGCGTTAAAATTGAGATTCTCTTTTGCTGTTGAAACTTGATACTGGAAAGAGGAAGCCATACAGACCAACTGCGTACTCCATGTGACATGGGAACGCACAAAAGGGAAACTAGGAGTCCACCCAGCAGCCCGCGCAATCCACTCCAGGCTAGACATACGGCTTAGGGAACACTCGGCCTACATCGCACATCCGTGCCCCCCCTGCTCTCAACCCTTGCACGCCTCAGGCGGGTTGGCACGCCACCGGCATGGCTGCAGAGCGCAGTACCCAGCCGAAACAAGCCGGCAGCAACATGTCATACACCCTTCCCATGTCTTGCGTGTACGGGCAACTTGGCTAATTAAAGGGTTGACTCCTTGAGGGCCTCGGTCACTTGGCCAACCTAAAACTTTCACCCGTCTATATAATTGCCACGTCCCTGGCGCTCGGCAAGCGCCTCTTTTCAGCGGTCGTTTCAGGCCCGCGATGCATCGAGAGGCTCTCCCCGCACTTGAAACATACAACGACTCAAGTAGTTGGCATGGGCTCTTGGACTCTTTGCTTCCATGAGTTCGGAAGTGTAGATGTCTCCCTCTGGCAGATTACCATAAGGAACAAATTGCCCGTTTTCTGTCCAGAGCCGGATCAAGGCAGTCCCGTTCCTGACCCCAATAGCACGTCTTTAAACAAGGGGACACCGACTTTGACAGGCGATCCCATAATCACGAGTCCGTTTATGCTCCGAATCTGACTGGGAGGGCCCCAAGTACCGACCATCAGCTCGTGCCCCCTGCTGGCAGGGCTGTCCATTTGCCAAATTCGGCAAGCCCCACGCAATCCGGCATAGCTTGCTCAAACATTCTTCGGATTTCGGTATGCTGAAAAGACAATTCCCGGTTACCCCTGGGCTCAAAGATGATAGGACGCAGCAAAGAAAGATGCGTCACATTACTTCCCCCCCCCCCCCACAGGAGCAGAGGACGATTGCGGAGCACCAGCCGGCCCAGGACAAAACAGGTCAAGTTTGACACCAGTTTCTGGAGCAGAGAGGGCTGAACAGCCGCAGATGCAGCGTAACCACTTTGGCTCCAAACATATCTTTGAGGCGAGCACGGGGCGCTCGGCCTCTCAGACCGCTCTTTTGGCTTCTCCCGGGCCCGGCTACGGCTGTCCATGCGGCGATTCGGCCTGGCGCCCGACGAAGGTCCGATGCCGGTTTTCACTGTGAGAGGTGCACTGTCGGTGTGTCTGGGTGCCCTCCTAATCATTAGCTTCCTTTGGTTTGCTAGTATCAACTGGCCCACCTTTCGACCATAGCAAAATTTACAATCACCGTCACAGCTTTACCTGCCCGATTTATGATGGGAAATGCACCGCCAAGATGGGGCTCCCTCGCGTGCGTGGAACATGGGGCAAACAAGCCAGCCGCCCTTCTAGCAACAAGCTCCCGCAAATGGCGACTGAACAAACATCTCGCCTCATGCCAACCAATCCCTTTTCCCCAAAAAGCGCCTGTCGTCGCCGTCTCCCCATCCCATGGCAGACTGTAGACTGTGGAGGCGCCCACCGCGCGAGCGCACAGCAACACAAGCTGGGCAGAACTTTCCACAGGTACCAAGGGTGAAGCTGCTCTGATCTCAAAGCGTGAACGGAAGCATGAACCAAGCGGAGTACTCAACAGCACAAAATGGCAGATACTACCATGCAAAGGTCATAGGAGTACACGTCCTTGATTTCTACCCCCCATGTTGTTCGTTTTACCCTTCAGGAGTAGCGGAAAGTGATCATCTCACAGACACCTCTGCATCAAGACCCTGCAAATTGACTCAGGGCTTGGGATCGTTCAGCATATCTTCCTTGAGCCAAGGGCCAGACCAAAACTCGCCCACTTGCCACGTGCGCCTTTCACCTGAACGCCTGGGCCTTCATTGGGAACCCATGTCGGAAAGCCAGCGTGGGTTAACTTGGGGAACACTTTGGGGTGGTTTTGCTGCACCTATATAAATATACACCGACATATATATATATATACATATATATATAATATATTATATATGTCGACTTTGCTGCTGCACTTTCTTGATGCACGCTTGGGTCCACAGAATGCCTTTGGCATCGGGAAATTCCAAGTTGCCAAGTTGGCTTGCATCAGTGGCAAATCTGGCACTTACAGACAGGCGCGGGCGACGCAAGAAGCGCACTCCCAATAAGGACGTTTACCTGCTTGCCACCGCCAACCGCATTGGCGGCGGCTTGATGCGGCCCAGGTTCACGAAAACGCTGCCTTGGCACGCCGGACTCTTCGGATCGAAAGGGAATGTGCCTTAGGGCCCAAACTAGCCGCAAGTTGTTAACACCGGCGGAAGCTGGGCGCAGTGCTTGGGGACTCCAGGCAGTTGCCCCTGTCAAAGGGGTTGCGCTGCTTCCATGGCTCCTTCTTTATCCCACCGCCGTCCTTGTCCGCGAAGGAAAACACCTGCGACAAAACTGGCAACTGTCGAGTCAGGTGTCTCTTTGTGACCTCACATGGGGTAGCCGTGGGCCTTGGTGGTCCAGATGCTTGGGAAAACAGCGACCTCAAGAGCAGCCAGCGCTGATGCTTGTTGGGTTTTGAAAACAGGCTAGCAGGGCATATCTTCATCCCACCTGCGTTAGCATCCGGAAAGCACACCGATTATATGCCGACCTTTCTGGTTCAGTACGCATTTTCGGCCAAGCACAGGCTAGACAAACGGGATTCGCCTTTAAAAAAGGATGGAAAAAAACGGAGGAATACAAGTCTTCAAGTAAACCTAAATGTGCACATTTCCATAGAAATAGCCGGACCTCTCGAAGGCCGCCTTCCCCCCCGCTGCCCCCCTCAACAAAACGACTCCGCCTTCCGGCTGGACAGCTCTGCGTGCTGCTCCTTGATGAAGTTCAGCAGCTCCTCCGCGTCCACGCCGTCCCCGTCGTGGTCCATGCCTGCGCCGGTGGCATCCAGAAACCCAAAAAAGGGAACGGACGGAACGGGTGCATAGGTGGCCTTTTGAAGAAAAATAGATGGGGATGGGAAATGGGAAAACATCTAAACCAGTGCCATCTATTTTCAACCAGGCTCACCTTAAAAAAAAAGGACACCTATGGACATGTGGCGGTGAATTTTACTTGGGGATTTTTTGGTGGACTTCATTTACATGGGGATCTATGTCCACCTGCCACTCCTGAGGGGTTCCCTATTTAGATTCATGGCCATGTTGGTCGTATGAGACGATCCCCTCGGACCCTTGGTCCAATTTTGGGAGCCCAAGCAACTGGCCTCTATAAAACTGCTTCAGCTCCATGTCGCCCACGTCATATTGCGTGAGCCGCAAGTTGATCCGCGCAAAGTACATGAACTCGGTCCTAAAGATCCACCGGATCAGCCACGTGAAGTGGGAGAAGCTAATGAGAAGCTACTGTTGCTCTCCTCAAAAAAGCCCATGTGCCGAAGCAGCTCCTTTTGGGGCACCCCCTTTTCTTGTTCTATGTCAATTGGGGCGGGTCGCAAAACCGCGAACAGACCGAACCAGGCGGCAAGGAGACCTTGCCGTCGCCGCCGGCGTCCATGTTGGCAAACCTCACCAGCAAGCTTGCAGGGAGCGCCCGGGAAGCGCTTTTCAGTCCCCGGCTGCCCGCTCGGCAAGTAGAAACAACCCCTCCTCCCCCCCCCCAAAACAAAATGTTAAAGGAAACCCCCCCCCCAAAAAAACAAAAACAGAGCTTGACCGACCATCAACAACTGCAACCCAACCTTGCCATCATCATCAGGCCAAGGCACAGTTCATTGATCGCTGCGTGAGATGCGGTGTATTTCCTGGGTTTGCGCGCGCAAGCTCGGCTCTCTCAGGTATGTCACATAATATCAATAATATCTAACACACAACCTGTCTCCTGAGAGCTACTCGCATGCTTTTGGAGGTTTTGTGGCCGGAATTTGTTCATCCCTCAAGTTGAAAGCCGTGGCTCCGGAAGGCCAGGTTCAAGTTCCTCCGCACCCGAGCGGTCTTCTTCCTGAACAGCTCTTGATCATCGTCCGGCCGCTTGGAGCCGTGGCACACGTACTCTAGCAGCTCAGACCTGTGGCGCTGCAGGCGTTCCAAACGGCACAAAATCCGTGCAGGACCCTCTGCTACCTTTCGGCTGGACACGAGTGGTGCCTCGAAAACAGGAGGGGAACGCCTTGACTTGTTCAAAAAAGTAGATAGAAGGGCAATCCTGGCATGGAAAAAGAACAAGCACCGGCAGCTGAGCCTGTTCAAGTGGGCCGCGCACCTCACAACGAGCATATATGTTCAACCCCCCCCATGATCTATCTTTTCAACTTGCAAACTGCTCATCTGCTACCATCCAATACCTTTGCACATCTGCTCATTTGACATTTTCCATCCTTGCAGATCTGCTCCATTGCTCATCTGCTACTACCCAGGACCTTACCACTCGCCTTCTAAATGCAATTAACGTTGGTTCAGCTCCGAGTTCCTACATAAATGGCCAATCCAAGTAGACAGTAAAGTTCCATTTTATAGCCATTAACTTGATTGAATTCCCTGCTTGGAAAGTAATCCCTACTTACGTTCCCAATTCACATAGACATTAAACTTTGAACTGCAATCATGCCCTTCTTCAATTCTATCACAACTCTAATTAAAGAAGTGTCTTTAAACCTTCTTACAAAGAAACTCAAACGGGGGTTGGGGCCCTTGAGCCCGGTAGCATCTCCACAGAGCCGCTGCCGTCCTGGTCGATGGCCTCGAACAGCACCTCACGAATCCGCGAGGCCCGGGGGTTCTCGAGGCCTTTCGCCGCGCTTTTTGCCAGCTCAAGCATGGAGGCTGGCCGCTGAAGCAAACCCAAAGATGTTTCGCAGGCTGACGGACATCATGTGGATGCACGGAACTTGTTTCGTTGTTGGAATGACAAAGGATCGGAAACGGGCCTGAAAGGGTTCTTTGTGAGAGCTAGGGGCGCAGAGAAGCTTGATGGAAGAGATGAAGTCACCTTCAGAAGAACCTCCTTTCGGCACCTTCCAGTTCCTGCTGCCAACCTGCAGAAGAAGACGATTCTACGTAAAAGCGGGGCCGCGCCAGCCCCGGCCAGAGCACCTGGATGTCGTAGTCTGGCAGCGTCTGCGGGGAGATGCGCAGCGCCACACGCATCACCTGCAGGGACCCCCTTCCCCCCCAGGTTGGAGGGATGTGCTTTGGGGCATGGCCCAAGCAGCTCCTCCACGCAACAGCAACCGGACATGCTAACCCAGGGGAAACATATCCACAACCACAAAGAGCTCAGGGCTCAACCTTTTTTTTTAAGAGGTGAACATGCGGCTGAGTGTCGAATCTTTGAACCCGCTTTTGGAATGCCATGGGGGTTGCAGTAAAATGGGTTGACAAACGGGAATGCTGACATTGGGCTTCTTTCAAGACGGCCTTTCAGAGAGTCGCAAGCACAACAGTGGTTGGGCGCATGGTGGCTTCCCCGTGAACATGCTTGAAACATATCCATTCATGATTGCGCACGGCCGCGTTGCAACTGCGTGCTACGGAAACACATGGAGAAGAGTGTTCAAGTGACACACGCATATCATCTCATCCGGGGTTCGAGAATCACATCTCGTGACGCCAAGCAAGAAGTCCTTCCATGTCACGTGGATTTCTTTGGTCCTGTGTCAGCTGGTTAAGCTACTTCCCAGCCCGCAAACGGAAGGTGACTCTCCCTCCTGCTTCAGCTCCTTGAGGTCCAATGCGCCAGACCTGGGTTGCACACTCGTGGGTTGGTTGACTGGTTGGTTGGTTGGTTGGTTGGTTGGTTGGTTGGTTGGTTGGTTGGTTGGGTGGGTGGGTGGGTGGGTGGGTGGGTGGGTCGTAAGCCAAACTGCCAAATGCCCCCAAAAAATAGAAAAGGCTAGAATGCTGGCGGCTAAGAGGCTTGTCCACATCAGCGGCCAGGAAAACCTTGTCCCAGTCGATCTCACGGTGGGCCTCAGCCGCGTTGCGACCCTTGCCCCCGCCCTCGCGCGAACCACCGCCTTGGCCGAGATGATCACCCGCCGCGCCCGCCCCAAGACCTGGCAGGGCCATAGGCCTTTCAAAGCCCCGTCACTCAATATGACTCCATGAACCTTCTACCGAAAGAATTGAACAGCCTGGGAAATGTCACGCAGAAGATGAACAGAGGCAGCCTTGGCCGACCCTGCCTCTGCGTTGCTAAACTTCCTCCCTACCACCGGCGACCGATTCTCCATCCAGTGGGACCTGTCGACCGACGCAGATGTTGATGCCGGAGACTCTTGAACTCGAGGTGCAAGAAATGTTTCTGTTTCAGCGCACTTCTGCTCGCAGGCAATTGAGGTCGATGACGTGGGAGGGTCAAAAAGAAAAAGGTGATCCACAAGGCTTGGGGGTGTCGGGAGGGACGGGCAAAACGTACACGTAACACTCCTTGCCCCACTGACCAACTGTTGACCTAACATGCCATCTCTGCCAAGAGACTCCTCATCCCTGGAGCCGATATGCTTGAAGGGAGAGACAAAAGGCTCCCGCACCTGGGCTTGCCACAGCTCTGGAAGTTTGCCAGGCCTCATTTCTATCACGTAGTCCATCCAGTTGGTTCAAACATGTCTAAGCCGCAATTGAACAAGTTGTCGCCATGTCATGCTCCTCTTGGCTGGGACCCAGCAGACAAAAGGCCCGCCCAAAGTGCGCATCTTTGGGCCAAGTCGCCGCGTCACGGCTCACACAGCGCCGCTCCTCCAAGTTGGAAGTGTCGGTGCCAAAGGTGTGCAGAACCTCCGCTCGCTTTCCCACCAGTTGTCCATGGAAAATGAAGACTCGCCCCATTCCGCATGTAAGTCTACTTGAAATCCGCCCAAAGCAGCGGACAGGCCAAGTGGGTCCAGTCTGAAGCGCTCAGCTGCCCAAAGAAGCACTCGCTCGCTTTGCTATAGTAGTACTCTGGGAATCGCGCCTTTCGGCATTGCGAATGCCAGGACTTTCTCAAGCGACCTGCTCCCCGTCGCTTCATGCAGCTAGCTACTAGCTTGAAACCGCACGGCCTGCATGCGCAGGAAGGCAATCGGGGAGCAGCGTATTTTTGGGCTGGCTTCGGTAAGGACCCCTCTCCTGCTACAGCTATCCAAAATGGCGGCCAGTTGTTATGTTATTTCTCATCCAAACCGACAACCAGAAGAGTCATGCACTGACACAAACAGGCGCGCCCACACACACACAGCGGATGTTGAAACCTAAGGGGTGGGCGGCTAGCTTTGTGCATTTGCACCCCCTGCGCCCTGACCCCAAATGGCCCGATAGATCCCCGGGCCCGTGCACCTTGGAGAACTCTTGGGCGTCCTTTTGGCAGCTGCGGCCCGCGATGGCGCAGAGAACCTGGCGAGAGCAGGCTGAGGGGGGGGGGGGTGGAGCAGAGGTGGTGTTGCATCGGTACATGCACATATAAAAATATATAAAGATACAAATAGGCATGCTGCACACAGCTATCTTATACCTATCTATCTATAATATATATATATATATATACATATATATATATATATACATATGTGTGTGTGTGTGTGTGCGTGTGTGCGTACCTTCGCCTGCAAGCGCAGGACACAACACACACCGGCAACATGGTCATAGCATGCCACGATCCGCAAGCGCTGGAACATGCATTCCGTAACAAAGCTGCATGGGGACAACCGATCAGGACCAAACACAAGGAGACACCAACAAAACTGTCATAACATGCCTCTGCCCAGAAGCTCTGGAAACCTAGCAAAGCCGCATGGGGACACCCGATCAGGACAACGTTCCCAAAACGAACACATGACACGGATTGAGCACAACTAAAAGGGGACACCGACAATTTGGTCATAGCATGCCTCTACCCAGAAGCGCAAGTTTCGCAGCAAAGCTGCATGGGTACACCCGAAACGGACAACTTTACACAAAAAGGATGAATTCACACAAGCACCCAGTAGTTTGCCTCAATACCCATCATCCATTTGCGAGTTGCTGGGGCAACATAGGGTGTCATATTCAGGCGGGGATAGAAAGAAACAATCATGGATTGCACCATCAGAGGGCAATCTAAATAAAGCAAACAGAGAATGTAATGAAATTTCAGAGTGGGAAATCCGTCCCATCCAAGGCCCCACTTGCAAGATAGCTGCCCTTCTGAGAACCATGGGCCTCAGCAAAATGGCCACACCATGGTGAGCATTGGCCGCTGCACATTGTATGTTGATTCACGATAAAACGCAATCCACTCAAGCAACAAGGAATGGGAACACGAGCCTATGGGAAGTGAAGAAGTTTCTTTCTTTGCCCCTTGCCACCTGAAGCACCTCCCGCCTTCGACAGCTCCCGACGCCGCCGCAGCGTGGAGAACTTGGAGCGCCGCATCCCATGGGACCGGAAAGCTGCGCTAAGGGGCCGGAGAAAGCTTGTTGCGGTTGCAAAGCCTTGTTGCGTCTTCAGCATGGGCTGGCTTCTGCATGCTCGGTTCTCTGGAAGGTGTTTTTGTGCGCCCCGTTTTGTAGGTCAAGTGAGAGGCCAGGAAGCGGCGGGGATCTTCCCCCCGCACCGTGCAAAGGGGGCACAGCTGGAGCCAATGGCAAGAGCGAAGGCTTTAGCTGGGAGTTTCGTTTGTGCAAAAATAGGAACTCAAAAGTAGTGGTGTCCTGGCCGTTTCTCTTTCATATGCATACGCTGAAACGCACACACACACACACACACACCACACACACCACACACACCACACACACACACACCACACACACATTTCTCAAAACGATTACGTGGTTGGTGTCCCTACTTTCTCTTTGAGCACCCGCCGAGCGCATCCGAGCGTGGCATTTTCTGCACGGGGTGGTGATGCTCAAGCCATGCAACCCCTCGCCGGTAGATGCTGGCAACCTCTTCCGCTGTTACAGCAGCATACCTCACAGGCAGGCGCCCGTGAGATCTTCATTTATGGAAATACCCACTGGCTTCAACACCTGGATTGCTAGAGAAGGTGTCGTTTTCTTGATCAAGCCATACCAAGCCTGCACCAGTGGCAGCCTGCCCGAATTTCCAAAAGTGCAGTGGCACACGTCAAGCCCAAAAGGGATCACCATAGATCGAAAAACACGTTTGACAACATGGCAGCTCAAGAAGCCCAGTGGCCAAGCCTCTAACAGCAACTCGTCAACCACCCCGATTGAGGTGGTCCAAACCTTCGAACCAGAGACTTGCACCAAGCCGCTGCCCGGGCTGCAGATTTGCGCCGTCCCCCAGTTGGGCTCTGCCTCCCTCCCGCGCTTCCTCTCGAGCCAGGCCCGCGCGCACCCCGCGAATGGTCCCGATGCGCGTGCGCAGCAGCTGCTCGCAGTGGAAGCCTGGGACAACTTCAGATACGGAGGCGAGGGTTCAAACATCTCCTCAAAGTGAGCGATCCATCTCATTTTATGTACTGATATGTACGGGTTTCACTCAAAGAGCAACCTCAATGGCATATGCTGGGGGTCCCGTATGAGACATGTAAGGGCCGCCTCAAGAACCCACTGACGGCTTGAGGCCTCCACCGACCGCTCTCATCATCCGCCTCACCAGGTGGTACCGTCCAGAAGACACAACCAGCCGAAGTTGGGCCAAGCCCGTGGCATCGTCCTGAAGGAGCTCCACGACTTTGGCGGCCGCTGGCGCCTTGCCATCCTCCAAGTCGACACCATCCAGGAGCTGCTGCTGGACGGCCTCGTCGGGGCGTAGGCCATGGATGCCGGAAACCACCGCGACGTACTCTTTCTCGATGTGAGTCTCGGGCATTGCCACTGATCTACTGAAGAAGCCATCTGATGTGAACAATAGGAGGCCTGTGCTCCTTCGGTCTAGCCTGCCCACGGTGTGACAGCCCTCAGCCCCAGAAGGATACAAATCGGATACTATCCGAGCATCTGGCGCCTCCCGCGCGTGTGAGCACACCACCCCCCACGGCTTGTGCATCTTCAAATAATACTCCGACCTTGGCGGGGCCTCCACCTGCACCCTTTTCTTCAGAATCGTCACCGTGGATGAGTTGGGGACCATAGCCAGCTCATCCTACGCCAGACCGCATACAGTAAGAAAACATAATACATGGTTCACTTCAAATCTGAACGTGGTTCAGGCTTGGCCAACACCGTCCTGCGCCCGGGCGCCATCCACATACACCCGGCTCTTGGCCACCAGGCGGCGCGCCGACCGAACCGAGCCCCGCACCGCCAGCGCCACGCACCGCAGCAGCGGCACCGCGCCGCTGGGCGCCGCGCGCTGCGGCGGCTCCGTGGGCTCCGCGCGGCGGGCCCCCAGCGGCCGGCCCGGCGTGCACCGGGCACGGAAGTCGGACGCCCAGACGACTCGAACGACTCGACGGTGCATGAGCACCCTAATGCCAGTGGCGATTGGTCAGTGACCAGTGAAATACGGGTGGCCACTGTCCACGCGCAACCCAGTATAACATGCTAGGACTGACCCTCCCACGGCTCCTCTCTGCCTTGGCTCTAGGTAAGCGGCAGCGGCAAAATCAGAGCGCTGGCAAGCTGAGCGCCAGAACAAGATACAACATTGGTTGCAAACGTGTGAAGGGACTGCATGCCGGTCAAACGATCAAGTCAGTGCAGATAGGTGAACAAATCCTGGAATACACGCAGGCATGCGGAGCTGAAAACCCTTCAAACGACGCAAACAGCTCATGGATAAGACTCACATACATGCATTCGTGGATGGCTCCCTTGGCCCTGGAGCCCGCAATGCGTCTTGACCACAAGTAGTTGACAAGTAAGATCCGTCCAAAGCGCACCCCGCCCCCACACCATCATCTTCAGGCAGCGGTACTGCCACAAGCATTCAGAGCCAAGGCCATCCGCGATTTTGACCGAAGCTGCGCACTCGGAACAACACCGCTGAGACAGGCGCACTCCGTGAGATCGGAGATAGCCAAGCAATTCCACTCAGGGAAGAGGAAAGAAGTCAGGATCTGCATACTTCTCCGGCCTCAGGCGACTTCTCAAGACAGCTTTGAGATCCTGAGGAGTTCGAAGCTGGCATGGCTTTGGCTTTCTCCAGATGGGTCCAAAAAGGTGATTCGCCTGTGCCGAGCCGCGGATGGAGCACCCGCTCGCGCGGAGGGGGCCATGGCGGGTCCGCCCCGCGGATGGACACCAAGACGCGCTGGGTGTCCTTGTCCACCTCCAGGATCTTGACGGCCACCTGCTCGCCTTCCTGGCACACCCAAAAGGCAATCTTGCACTGAAAGGAAAGTCGAATGCCCCCATTGAAATGGACCCTAAAAAGGTGACACTGGTACAACCCAAGATGGAAGCAGCACATACCCTACATATCACGTCATACCGAATGCATCCTTTAAACATCTCCTATTCTGCGGCATGCCTTCCATGATGTTCGTGGCAGTGCTTGGTTTCAATTGCAGCACGACTCGGCAGCCCAACGACTCACGCCTCCCATTGCCTCGGGGTCTCCGACTCCTGCAGCTCTTCGCAGAAGCCACGGATCTGGGAGTCCTGGATGGGGCACCAGCCAAATCGAAAGGCGAAGAAAAAAGACGAGGGAAAAAAAAAGCTGCTGGAAGTGATTTTTGTCAGTTTGTCATACACAAATTACAAATTTTAGCTCCAATGTAGAGACTTGGCCATTTTGAGCTGAGCAGAAACAAACGAAGCTGCGCTGCATGCGTTGTGTACATCCTGTTGAAACAAAGCAGAGAAAGCACTGACACAAATGAATCCAGTCCTCTCCGAACCTCCCAACTGCCATGCCGCAAACGATCAAGCCTCAAACAATGTAGCCGCACAGAGTTTGTTGAGGGAAAAACCTAGAACACCGTTTTCTTGCGGCTGGATGCAATGCAAAATGAGACACAATGCCACAATAACTGAACACTGGAAATGGGAGACTTTTAGCTTGCTGGACTGCCACCTAAGCTGCTGCCAGGCCACCAATGAAGCTTCCATATGGCCTGGGCACTTCCACAACACAGGATCCCAACACTCCGCCACTTGTCACATGCCCTCTTTGGGAAACAAAAGGAAGATCAGGAGGTGGGATCCTTTGACATCAATCAACGGGCTGCGTGCCTGATCTCCTCGATCACTCCGCGCACCGTCTTCCCCACCGGCAGGAAGTCGACCCGCGCCTGCCGGAAAAGATGCCGGCTTGTGGGGCCCACAAGGCGGTAGCTTGTCCTCTGGGTCTCCGCCTCCTCCCAGGCCAAGGGATCCGGCCCATCGTCACTGGGCGGAATAGCATACCACTCCTGCCAGTTGCAGCGGCAAATCTGGAAAAGGCGGCCCCAAGGCCTTGGAGACGCCCACCCGGTCCTGTGGCTTGTCTCTTCTCGCAGCATCCTGGCACGGCTTGTAGCCAAGTGCCCGCTCCGAATCCTCTTTGAAGGTTTCTTAAGCGCCGACCTTCTTGCGCATGGGGTAGAAAGGGCCTTTTGGGGCGGATGTGTTTGAGGCAAAACCTGCTCAATGAAATGGAAGTACCGCAATCAAGGGTGCCGCTGGGCAACTGGGTCATATATCCGGCAAGGAACGTACCAATGACAGTTCTGACTGTGCTCGGTGGGGCCTGGAGGTAGGCTTCCGCCGTAGGGCCCAGACCTCTTTTCAGACCCGCTCCTGGCACAAAAGCACCGCCGCTTTCCAATTGCTTCTGGGAAAAGTTGTCTTTCTTTGGGCTTCAAGTCATCAAGCCAACTTGGGCACCGAAATAACAAACAAAACCGCGTTTGAGGCATTTGCCCTAGAAAACAGGCACCAGCACAGGGATCTAACCCTGATCCCAACAAGAAGGGCCCACAATACTAACATAAAATCATAAAGTCCATCAATTCAGCGCACTTCTTAGGCAACAAAGCATCTTCATAAGGGCAGTTGCAAGACATCTCTATGTAAAATGTGGGGTAGTGGGAAGACCTGGGCTCCCTCCTGGCCGCCGCTGCCGCATCCGCCTCGACAGGCTCGGTGCCTGAGTCACTGGGCCCGATGGAAGCTGAAACAACGCTCAACGCAACCATCAAACAGAACCTGGCTCCGCAAAAGAAAGGTGGCACCAGACTATGGAACATGGGTGGAAGTTTACCACGTCCACGAGAATATTTCAGAGGCTTGAATAGTTTGCACCCAGGTCCGAATAGCTGGCAGTGCCAAGGAACCGGTCCGCACCTTCAACAAGGATTCCGGGGCGCCGGCGGGCATGTCCGCCTCTACGGTGTCTGGCAGACCCATGCGGCCCACGGGCTCGTCGGGCTCGTCGGGCTCCTCCATCTCCAGGGGGGGAAGGTCCAAGTCCGGCAGCGGCGGCAGGTCACCCAGATCCGGCAGCGGCGGCAGATCCGGCAGTGGCGGCAGATCCGGCTGCGCCCTCAACGTGGGCCGGAGCCTAGAGCCAGCGGAGCCAGCGGAGCCGGCGCAGCCGGCGGAGCCAGCGCTGCGGGCTTGCGGCCGGTAAATGAAGACGGAACCAAGGGAGAGCACCAGGAGCAAAGACCTAAGGAGCACACGCAAGTCAAAGTAAGCCCCGTTTACCTCGCCATGTGAAAACTGAAGGATCCTTTAGGCACAGGTTTCAAAGGGAACCGGCATGAAACCAGCCATTCACCTTCCTTCTTCCAGGGGCCCATGCACATAAGCACGATATTTCTACTGGAGCCCTATTTCAGGTTCCCTTGCTCACGCTTTGGCAGATGCGGGCGAAGGGGTCCAACCAGCACTTAGACTTCGGCCCACGCCTGCGCGCCATGCGCGCCACTCGCGCCGCAGGTGCCCATCGCCCTGATTCACTGTAGATTCGCTCCAAATCCGAACAGCAATCGGGGGGTGGGGGGGGCTTTTTGAATCTCCCGCCTTTAAAGGCGTGCCCGGTGTTAGCCAGAAAGCAGGCTTGGGGTCTGGGGGAAGTATGAGAAAGTGCACCTCAACTGGGTGGTGTTACCTTCTCCGAAAAGCAACCCCCAAAAGGGATCCCCGATTTTCACACGTCATCAGGCAAAATAAAATGGACCGGACTAAATGACACAGTGTGTGTGTGTGTCTGTGTGTTGGGACACTTGGCCCACTAGAAGTTTGCCTCGCTCTCCCAGCCTGGGCCGGCGGCCATGGCCCCATGCACTCCGGAGGCTGCGCTCGTTGTTACGTCCCGTGGTTGTCCAGAGCGGTTCGTTTCGGCCTTATGGCCTAGGCTCGATGCTTTCGAGATTTTGTCAGGCAACATGGCTCACGTATAGATGGGGGCATGCCACTGGCAGAATGGATAGTTTCATCTTGCATCATTGGTTGCTCTTGGCACTCTCATAGGGCCAAACAGACCAGCCTACGGCTGCGCACTTTCGTGACTGAGCAACTGCCAAGCATCTCTCAAGGTAGCATAACTCGCTCTCTTGGCGCATTTTGGCCGTGGCACGCAAGTGTTCCCACTCCCAGCCACGAATTCCTGCCAGGTAGGGCGAAACAAAAACTTCCGCTTGGGTTGCGCTCCACTCCAGAAAGGAACCGACCTTGGGCTGTTCATTTGAAAGAGATACTGGAACAGGGAAAGGGGTGCCACTGAACCAGGGCGGGGGGCGAGGTTGCTGCATGCCGTGCAAACCTTCCAGCCTTGGCGCTTGGCCTGCATTAACGTCGTGCGATGGCCTGCAAACAAAGCGCTGACTCTGGCAGTGCCGCAAGGGGCATCCAACTATGAGTCGGGTGACGCCCGCTGCATGCAAGCTGCCGCTGGATGTCATGATAAAGCCTGGCTCTCTACCAAGGTGCTCGAAAAAAGTCCCGTCTACATTGAGCACACTGCAAAGCTCTGCCCATGCCCATCCACCCACACGCAGCTTGGCTGGGGAAAGCCAAGCTGGCAACGACCCCTGCTTTGCAAGTCTTCGACGTACCCTTTTATCCCGCCCTGTCTGCTGCGTGACCGATGGAGCGCCATCAACATGCAGCCTGAAAATTGCCCTCAGCATCCCGGGGCTAAAGGCAGGCCTCAAAGGCCAGCGGCTCCTTTCGCGGCACCTCCCGGGCTTGGGTGCTCAAGACCGTCTGCAGCTCCTGGCCCCCTATTGTCGCAAGTCAGCACGAGGATTGGAATTAACGAAAACCACCGGGGTCCACCTCCCATGGCCCAAAAGCGGCCGGGGGTGGCCATGGGGTCAAAAAGTGTCACACGCGTGGGACCCGCTTCGGTGCAGGAGAGCCGGAAGGGAGTCCAAAAGAATCCACTGCGACGGCAACAGCTGCGAAGCCCCAAAAGGGTCCATGAGTTAAGCAGTCAGGGGCCTTGGCCGAGTCATGATTCCGAAGCCCTGTCCTCAGTGTGTCGCTGAAGACGCTGAATGTGGCCCTCCAGCCTCCGGCAGGCAGAAATCACCAGCACCCCCCAGCCAAAAATGAAGGAGCCCTTTACAAAGACAAAGTCTGGTATCTCTCCAGCTGCATCCGGAAAGCAACCCCTTGCACAGGTTTCAGAGAAGAATACGCCCTGCTGGCCTGACTCAAATTCGGCCTAAACCTCGGGCTCGGATCTGTCCTGCTCAAAGCCGCCTCGCAAGGGCCCCGGCTTGTCATGCAACGCCGTGAAGCTTGCGAGGTTCTGGCCATCGTCGGCGAAGCAGCTCCTTGGAAAATTGGAGCCCGAAACCCCCTGGGTTGGGCCGCCCCGAACCCCATGAATTTGCACAGGGACCAGCGATTCCAAGCCAGCAAACACGTGCAAAGAAGAGGTCTTCTAGAGGGGTGTGGTGGACTTCTAGCATTCCCACGTGACCACGACACGGAGCATACACCTTCACAAGAACTTCCCAGCACTCTCATCCTCTGGCAGCGTCCTCTAGCGAAGCTAGAAACCATCTGATTTAGTACTGCCAACAGGTCCTCCATTGGCTCCTCTCGAAGCTCGGCTCCTGCGGCCAAGCACGCCAATGCTAACCCCACAGAAAACGCAGGGCTGGTTGGGACAGTCCAAACGGGGATCTTTTGGTGTGAAGAAGGATCCTCGTCCCGCAACAAGTTTAGTCTCAAACAAATTGCAAGAGCCAGCGTTCTCCAAAGCTCTTGGCGCTGCCCAAATTCGACTGTAGAACAGTGTCCCTGTGCAACGCTTGCGGTCCTCCCTGGTCGGCGCCACTGCAGGCACGAACACCTCGGCCTGCTCCTTCATGCGCTTGGCATCCTGAAGGGAAATCCGGCATCGCCCACCCAGGCAAAGCCTGTCCCACTTCCCAAATGATGACAGCAGCTACCCAAACCACCAACCAAAACCTCCACACATCTAATTCTGCCCCCTTGCTCCCCCAACTAACCCCTCCCTGCCGGCCCCGAGCGCCCCCGCTAATCCCAAAGTCCCCCACTCCACTGCCCAGCGCTCCCCCCATTGCAAGCCCCCACCTCCACCTGGCGTGTCAAAGCGGCGTCCTCCTCGTGGGCCTCCCAAGTCGGGAGTTGCCCTTTCTGAGGCAGCCCCTCTTGAAGCCAAGGGCTCAAACATATGGTCTTGGAGACAAATGATTCAACGCCGCTTTTTTAAGGGCGGCAAGCCAAATCGGAAACCGCCCAGTTTGAGTGTTCCCATACGTTGGGCCCCGCATTTGGGCCGGGAAGTCCCGCTGCTTGTGGATGTTCTCCGAGACCAGCGAGTGCGCATCCAGAAATGGCTTTCAGCCCTCGATGCCTGGCCCTCGTCCCCAGCAACGTCGTTGTAACACTTCGAGCTTGCACTTCACATTGCAGCCCATAAGTGGCTGCAAGTCAACTCCGGACTCCACACGGCAACTCGGCGCCTTCTGCAAAGAGCCTTCGATTGCCGTGATCTGGCAGGCAGTTCGGCTGATCTAAAGCCATAGCACCCTACAAGTAATCTCAGGGGCCACCAAGGGCCATTTGCCATAACCTCCCCATGGCTCCCCCTGCTGACATCAGTCTTCGACCGAAGCAAGCCCTGCACCGCACAAACGGCACAACACAAAACACGGCCTCTGCCTTTGCCTGGCTCATTGCCCGTGAGTCCTGGCAAAGGCGGCAAAGGCGGCATGGACCCGCAACACAATCCAGGCACAGCAAAGCAAGCTGCACCGCATCAGCCTTCCAATCTTAAGCCCGGCCTCGGAGTCCGTTTGCCGCAGCAAGCTCAACCGCTGCTCATTCTCCTCTAGGCGCTGCCTGGGCGAGGCTTGACTCACCTGAGGCATCTTCATCCAATTTACCCGCAAGAAAGGAACCACGTACGATGGCTGTTATGTTGGCATCTTACCCCGCGGCCCCTTCCTAGAGTGATCTGGATCCCCCTGGCAAGCAACTGTCCACCTCATTCGGTCTCTCAAGGGGTTGGAGTTGCAGAAGTCCCTCAAAGGAAACGATCCCTGCAAAAGGCTAACCGGGATACCAAGTCGGCTTGCCGGCCATGACCCGGCTCACTGACCATCCTAGATCGCGGAGTTCCCTGAACAGAACTCGCTCAGTCCCCCCATTGAACACTGGCCGAGGGCAATGCGCATCGCCACCAAACCGGAAACACGGGAATGTGCCAAAACTAGTTGGACCACGCCAATTGGGCGGTTTCAAAAAAACACACACACACACACACCTAGAACCTGCAGACCCTCCAATCGACCCCCCCCCAAAAAAAAATAAATAAATAAAAAGGTCTTCGAGCTTTGGCTGGCTTCCCCCCTGCGGTCGAACCGAAGCGCCTCATGGCCGCGGTGTCGCGCTCCAGGCCCTGCAGCCTGCGCTGCTGCGTAGCCACCTCCTCGCACGCGCAAAGGGGGGGCGACTGGGAGACTGCGGCGGGCTGGCTGGGTCCTCGCTTGCTTCGGTTGCCGTGGGCGCGCGCTTTGGCGGCACATATCGCCATGTTAAAAACTGATGGATGCCCCATGCCTGTTGGCCACGCTGCCCCAAAATCCCACGATTGCCTACTCAAACATGCCGAACCTTTCGACTACTGCCAACTCCTTCTGCGGTTCACCCAGTGAGTGCTGGACAGTAGCGGGAAATGCTTGGACTCATGAAAGTACCAAAGCTTGCTAAGTCCCTTTTAAGCGAAAGGACCATTGCACATCGAGTGCAACCAAGCGGCGTCGCTGGTCGATTTCAGGTCAGCACGCCTCGTCTCCTCGCTTTGAGCGGAGGTTGCAGGGAGGGAACTGAAAGGGATTTGCGGGAAAGCGCCGAGAAGGGGCCGCCCGTGCGTGTTACATCCGTGGCTGGCCCACAATTCTCCCGCCGCAACGGGTCGAGGCTTGGCGCCTGCACAAATTCAACCCCGGCAGAACCCAAAGCCTGGATTCAAACCCCTGTGCCGCTCAAAGCAAAACATTACAAATGCTGCGGCCCGCTTTCCTGAAGAAGAAAATAGCACCGGCTTGCAATTTTGCCTAAGGGAAAAAGGCGCCGCTGACCGAAGCCCAAAACTCGGCGTCCTCAGCCTGCACCTTGAATTTCTGGACGCCCTGAAGCTTTCGCCGCTGCTCCTCCTGAAAGCGAACCAAATTTGTCCCTCAAACGTGGCACTAAAATGGGCTTCCAAGTCTTCACATTGCAGGCTCCTGGGTTCGAATCACCCTCAGCAGGGCATGGCACATGGGAAAAGGGAGGGCAGCCGAGCACATGGACAGTAAGGATGCCGCTGTTCGGCCCCGGCATCCTTCACCTTCTGCATCTCTTGTCGGGCCTCGGGAAAAAACACTCGAGGGCAAAGAGCCTGTGCCATCCACCGGCTCACCGACTGAAGGCTCCCAAGGCTGATGCAGGGGTACACCACAACAGTCGTTACCAACTCCAACAGCAGGGCTCCCTAAGCTGCCCTTGAAACACTCCACCCGGGCAGGGCCCCACAAAGTAAAACTGGCTGACGCAAGCCTGGCTGGCAGGCTGGTTGGTTTGTTGGTTGGGGCGAAGGGCGTCGGACCCCCAGCAAAGAAGCGGCCTGACCTGTCACAGCAATTACGACACTGAAGTGGAATTTGGCAACCAGTCAACCAACCAGTCAGCCAGCTGCCGGCCCAAAGAGGAAACCAGCCCCAGACCAAAAAGCATCCACGTCTCCTATGGGAAACAAACCTGAGAAACACAACACACGTCCCCGAACCGGGGGCCGATGCCTTTTCGGCTGCCTGCTCCTCACGCACCAGCTGCTGGCTCAGCCTCTGCAGTTGAAATCAGAGGCCCATCCGTCAGTCTGCCGACTGCGAGAATTACGCAAATTGTCTAGCCTTGGCCCTTTGCTCAATACATGCCACAGTTTCTCCCACATGCCTTCTATGAATCAGTGAATGGGCAGCTGGAAAATTCAGCTCACTAGCTCACTACGCAATTTGCGATCCAGCTACCCCCCCCCCAAAAAAAAAAAAAAAAAATGGAGGAAACAAGAAGAAGGACAAAAAAAAGTGGCCAGCATGCAGCAGGCCTTGCCAACAGTCTACTCACTCCATGTTGCCCTCGAAGTATCCTTAGTGTCTTAAACTCTCAACGGGTAAAACGCGCCTTTGGCTACAAAAATAAACTCACCCCCTGGGCGCAACCCGAAGAGCCCACATTTCGGCTCAATTTCGAGGCTCCGGGCGCCGACTCCTTGGCGCGCTGCTCTGCCCTGCGCCGCTCCAGCTGCTCCGAGAGGCTGCCCTGGCCGGCGCAAGGCGCGCTGGCGTGGGGCGAACGCTTTGGGAACCCCGCTGCAAGGCCCACACCCAGCGCAAGCCCCAAATGTTCATGGAGAAATATGGGCAGCCTCAAGTCTTGAGTGGGTCAGGTTTCAGCTGGCCCAAAGGTCAACCATGAACTTCGCGTGAGAGTGCTTTTTGCTTGTAGCTGCAACCAGCTGGACAACTAAAGTAAACACCTGCAGAGTGTGTTTGCACGATGGCAGCTGCTGGTGCAGTTCGCGACCAAATGGTCTTCAAACTTCTGGCAGCAAAACTCGAAACAAACAGAAAGGAGCCCTCGACCCACCTAGAGAACCGCAGGCTAGTGCATAGATTGAGCCAATTCTAGGCATAGAAATCTGGACAGTTGCCCACAACAAGCGGCGCAGTGGCTTGGGATAGGTGCGAAAGAGAAAAAAACAAAACCTTTCTCTGCGCAAGAAAATGAAAAAAGAGAGCGAAAAAAGTGCCGCCTTGCCCTCGCAAAGACGCGACGCCTGAGCCCAGCCAGCGTCAATGGACGCCTGTTTGTTCGCGACCTGTCGCCCGCCTCCAAGTCAGCCGACATCTTCTTGTCCGAGGCCACCTCAGACGCAAGCAGTCCAGTTCCCTCCCAAGAAAAGGTCTGTGGACATCCCGCTTCCATGGCAAATAGCCCACAAGCACAAGGGACTGTTGAAGCTGCCACAGCAGAGGGCGTGGACGCTAAGAGTCAAGAGAGTTGCAATTCGACGCTGAAGACGGCCAGTTTTCACTTCCACGAAAGAGTCTCTCCACCAACCAGAATGAGTCACAGTAAGCTACACAAAAAACATCGACGGCTGACAATCTAGCTTCAATACATCCCCTCAACGCCTCCAGCTTCGCCCGGCTCTGCGCGCCGCTGACCTGCCAGCAACTGCCAGCATTCCTACGGCTTCTAAAACGATGAACACCTCGAATATACAGTCTTTCATCATTGCTCACTTCAGGTGCAGGCAAGGACCAACGCTAGTCAAAGGGCGGCATCCGTCCAACGAAAGGTCAAAAGAAGAACCACTTAGCTTGATTTGCATGTAAAAGCGCCTCTGCGAGGGTTCGCTGGTCTATTTTGGCGTCCTGGGATTCCTTCGCGGCCTGCTGCCACCTCCGCTGCAAATTTGCGAGCTCCTCCCTGGCTGCTTGCAACTCGTTCTCCGCGGAGCTCAGACGAGCTGCAGCCCGCACCTGCGTGGATCGGCTCCAAACAGGTTCCCAATGGTTCCGGAAGTGATCCCAGGGATGTCCCACCAAACTGACGCCAATGACCCATGTGGAAAAAATCGGTTGGTATTGGGGAGGTTCCTCTTTTCGAACATCGGTCATTTTCTTGGGGGAACGGGAGGTCATTAGCATGTGAGTGTCTTGCGAGTGCTTGGCAGCATTCGGATTAGGCTGGAGCCTCCAAGTCTGTGGAGGCGCGACGTCGTGCCACAAGGTCCTCCTCAAGCCTGCAAGCAAATCACAGCAAAACATGACACACACACACACACAAACACGCACGCGGACTCACACAGGCGCAAACATAAATACACTATGTATCCATGAAATTATCACATAGTATGCGGGTTTGGGTGTACAGGTATGCGCATGCGCGTTCACGCGTGTGCGCTCGTAAGTTCAGGCGGGCAGGCGTGCGTGCCGGCGTGCATGTGCATCGCATGCGCATGTGCGTTGCATGCGCATGTGTGTGTGTGTGCCTGCGCGTGCGCGTGTTTGTGGGTTTGTGTCTGTGTGTCTGTGCATTTGTGTGTCTGTGTGTCTGTGTGTTTGTGCGTGTGAATCGTCATGCATACACAGCTGTGACTGAATCAAAAGTATGAAAGAACCTAGACAGTAATTAATACCCAAGCGAGCGTGCTCTTGGCAGGGGCTTGAGCTTGCCGGCAAGCTGAGCCAAGCCGTGCCTGCGGATCTCTGCCTCGAGGTCGGCATTTGCGGCCGACAAACGGTCACAAGCGACCTGGCCATGTCAAATTCGGACTCCCGGGCCGTGAACGCGGATGGGATCTGCGGGGCCACACACGTTTTGCACATGTCTGCTCGCTCAAAGGCTGCGGGCTTGTGTGGCTAGTGGAAGTTCAGTGTAGCCTACCATCCCCCACCTGCATCCGCATTTGCTCCGTGGCGCCCTCGCGGCGGGCATCTGCCAAGGCGTCCTGTGTGGCCTTCTGGGTCTTGCAGCACAAGAGCACCAAACCACCTACTTCCAACCCCTCCACCCAGGCCCTCTCAGATCTCGAAGCTGGCAGCGGCTCGCCACTTTTCAACTGACTTCCATGTCGAATGGGTTGTCAAGCCTGGGCCAAGTGTGATTTCCACCGCCTCTGCCTTCCTCTCGGACTCGGGCCAGCAGCTCCATCACATCGATGCGCCCATTCTTCAGCCGAAGTGCGACATCTCTGAACTGGCCCAGCCACTCCAGCATGGCTCCCCAAAGCCGCACCTCACTCAGTGCTTAAACCCATCACCGTGATATGAAGTTTGTTCTCAATAGGGAACCCGTTTGTTGGAGGGGTGTGTGAGGATCTGAAAGGCTTACCACAAAATACCCGGCAAAGGGCAGAGCCAAACTCCTTGCTGTCGACCCTGGTTAATATCCCGGCCTTAGTTTGCCAATATTCGAGGTTGCCTTGGAAGAACCAAATGCAACTACCTCCCTCCAACTAATGTAGAGCTCGCGTTGTCAGGGTCCAGGGAGTACAATGGATGTGTCCTAAAATGGGTTGGAGTGTGAGCATGGTTTACTTGCCTGTCAGGGCTTAGCTTTTGGCTCACTCTTTGAGGTGGTCCCTTTCAATTTCACAAAAGAGGCTCCACCGCTAAAACGACTGAAAAGGGAGACCCAAAACAGCAGAGTTTGATTTTGGGCGAAGGCAAAATCAAGTGGAACTGTGCAAAGCCAACGTTTTTGCCATCCCCATTGACTTGTCTCTCAGTCGCAAAAAGGGGACTTCCCGCGGCCCTTTTCGGCCATCCGGTGTCACCCGACCTCGTCCTGGTAGCCCTTGAGGTGGTCCCCGGGCCCGCTGGCCCTCAGCCCATCGAGGAGCGACCCCAGGCCCTCCACCGACTCCGCCCTCAGCGGCGGAAGCGCCCCAGGCGGCCCCGCCCCCGCGGCGTAGAGCCTCACTGGCCAAAGGCTTGTCCGGCCCGGGGGCCAAATCAAGCAAGGAGGCCAGTCCACAAAAAAAAAAAACGAAAACGGAAGAAGGGTGGAGTCCACCTGAAAGCGGAAATGTGAAACTTGGAAGAGGGGCATCCCAAAGCCAGTCGCCGCTCACGGTTTGCGCCTAAATTTACTCCCATGCGACATTCTGCAAAGCCAAACATGGATCAAGAGGAATCCACCTTGAAAAACCTGCGGTCGTTCTCAAAGGTGTGTGTCCTTTTCAAGGGCACCGCCCCTGAACACCCCCCTCCCAACCAAAACATAATAATGACAAAATCCGTGCGGTGCCCCTGCAAAAGCCCAAGCAAAAACAAAAAAAGAGAAAACAGTGCCCCCCCCCCCCTTCCCAAACATATCCATCAAACGCGGCCCAAGGCTTCAACGCCCTTTCGCGGAGGCTCAAGTCCCAAGGCTTCACCCCGCAGCCCGAGAAGTGCAGCACCACCGCGCCCTCGCGGCCGCTGTCGGAGCCGCGGATCTCCTCGTGCGCCTCGACGGGCGACGGTGGTTTCGGGGGGTTAAACCCATGGCCAGCCCTTTTGTGGTTAGTAATATTCTGGGGGTAACTTCCATTTCCATTCTTTCCAATCCTTCTTTCTAGAAAACCACCAAACATGTGGGGAAATGGCTGGTTGTTGAAAAGAATGGGGAATCAAACCCTAAAATTATGCTTCAAGGGTGAGAGTTCCTGTTCATGGCTAGGCTTCACGGTTAGGCAACGTGGGGGC